AGATTATGGTACTGTGCCATATGGTTACTGTATATAAAAAGAAAACCGAGTGGACAAGCAAGTCAATATGTTCATATGTAAATAAAAATAAAAAACTCTCAGAGTTAACTCCTCAACTCAGAGTTCCTGTAAATAAAATAAATATAGATTGGGTGGTTAACTCTGAGAGCTTGGGAACCTTTTATTACTCAAAAAGCTTTTATTCAATTTATGTATTGTTTTACTCATGATTTTTAATTTCACTTTCAACAATTCTTGACAAAACACTCAAATGAGCAACAATATTATTACCATAAGTTTTTTATATTTCATTCTCTTAGATTCAGGTAGATGTTGAATTTTATCAGAAAGTGGGTCCATTACAATTTCATATTTTGATCTTGTCCGCTCAAATGGGTTTTTGAAATACGGTATAATATTTTCAAAATCAAATTCATCTTCAATGACAAAAGAATTTCTGTAGACCTCCATTTACGTAAAATAAATTTTTGTAGCTATGGTTGAAACGAAAATTCAATATCTTGAGTGAGAGTATCTAGGAAAAATAGACTGTTGGGTGAGTGTCCCGAATGTGGATTGTTTATCGTAATTTTTAAAAGATATTATTTATTTGGTGAAATTAGTGCTGATTTTTTAATGAAAAAGAGAGTGCTGTGAATGTACCTACTCAGAACTGCAATACTTTTTGATTGATATTGCCTGAATTGGTATTGATTTCTAGGAAAAATGAGAAAGTTGAATGGGTGGGATGAGTAGACTCCTATACTTTAGAAATGCTATTTATTTAACAAAAATTGAATAGTTTAGATAGAATTTTTAATTTATTTTTATTGAACTTTTCGTTTCGTTGTCTTTCTAATTTTTTGTGAAATTAGGCTGATTTTAGAAAGAAAAATAGAGTGTTGTCAGATTTACAAAATTCTTGATTCATTCTTGTTGAAAATAGCATTGATTTTGAGAAAAGTTAGAGAGTTGAGTGGAGTGTCCTCAATGGCCGCCTATACTACTCATGTGTAACCCTTGTCTCGTAGGGAAAAGTGAAAAAGTTACCCTAAAAATTCCGCAAAAGGTGAATAAAGTTTCAAAAACACGCTAGGGCACTATACAATTTTTCTTACTTTTTCTTAAGAGCTTTATAATGCGTCCAAATAGATTTAAAATTTCAAAAATTTCCCGGGGGAGGCCCCCCGGACCCCCCCCCCCTTGGCTAGGGGCCCAGGCCAGAAAATTGGTACCAGGGCCCGAGATGGGATGTGGCGGGCCTGAATAGAGGGTCCCTCCAGCAATTATTTATTGAGGAAGTCATTCAGTACACCACGGATAGACAATTCTCAAACCAGGGGCGGATCCAGCAAGTTGACAATAACGGCTTTCCTCCATTTAAACCAACGCTAAATAATCGATTCTTGTCGGAGCACCTGGCCCCTCCAAGAATCGATACTTTTCCATAGGTTTAAATGGAGGAATTCCGGTGTTGCCAAGTTGCTGGATCCGCAATGTCTCAAACGTCACCGGTCACACATCCGAAATACACGTCATATTTCGCCGTACCAAGCGCCTTCAAACGTGTGAGGATACAGCATGCAATACGTTAAAATTGCTCCGGTACTTGCCTACTTTTCTGCATCCGCGTTTAAGTCTCTTTAAAATCTCCGAAGTGCTCATATTGCACCGATTACAAAGAAGGGATTTTTTTTATTTTTGTCATGGGAACGGAGTATACAATCGTTATAAGTCGGATATTACAATCGTTCCGTTGCTTTCGCTATGGGATTCCCTATACCTCTGCGACCTTGAGCGTTTCGCCCAGTCTCCGATTTTTGGTTGATTTTCCGATGTATCAAAAACCGTTGTATTTTTTAGCCAATCGTGTCTCTACGTCAAGTTGTGTTGATTGCTAAAATTCGCTTTCAGCGAGTTTTTTTCCACCTTGAGATGTCGTGTCTGACTGGTAAATCTGCGCAGAACCACGAAGTTCCGTTTTTAGGCAAATTCTTTTTTTTGGGAGGTTCTGATTGGTTATTTTTCGCCATCAGTTTTCTGTTCGTTGGTGCAAAAGATCGCCTACCTCGGTGTTCTTGAGAAGCCGCCATTATCCCACCTCAAATTTGAAAAATAGAAGTAAAGAAATAATAACCATCGTACAAGGTGGAAAATTGTTCTGGAGGACTCGTTACGGATAAAGAAGTCAAAATCAGAGCTCGATTGATTGATTTAATTCATGGATACGCAAATATTGCCTTAGCTCAATTGCCGCGATCGGAATGCGTGCTGGGATAAACCTCGAGACGCATTAAAACAGTGCGAACCATGGCTCCTACAGCAATGCGCTTCATATGAGCTTCATATTTCAAAAGCAGTCAAGGTCTCTTGTGATAAGTCCCCCCCATTGCCCGAGTCTTTTAAATGCTATTTTCCCCCCGCTCACGTGGATCTGTCATAGCCTAGTTGACTAAACCGCCTCGTATTTGTGATTGGATGCGGGCACCCGGCGATCGGGAGTTCGATACCCGACGAAGGGAACTATTTTTTAATGGTTGTATTGAATGTTTTAGACTAATCATTAAAAAATAATTAATAGTAGATGATAAATGTACGAACATTTTCTCGTGAGTTAATATGTTAAACAAAAATACTGGAATATACCTCCTTCATATAATCAGCCACATGTTCCCCCAAATTAATGACGTTATTTTCTTTTTTCAATAAAGTTAATTTGATAGAAAGACATGAAAATAGTATGTCTAACATTTCAGTTGTTTTTTTTTTTTTATTTATTTTTTGTTTTTTTGTTTTTTCAATAAAACAAATTGACTGGGACTAGAATCATCGTATCTCTGAAGACAAAAGCTAAGTTTTTTGATACAGAAATACCAATATATTCATCCTTTATATAATCAGGGAGATGTTGACCCAAATATTGATGTATATTTTCTCTGTTCGCCCAAATTAATGATGGTATTTTCTTTTTTCAATAAAATTAATTTACATTCCACGTTCTTAAAGCAATATTTTCTCCAAAATTCAGCAAAAAATAACAATTTATACCTACGCAAAAAGTAAATAAATAAATAAATAAATAAAGCAATGACATGAAAGTAGTATAGGTAGTACACTTCTAACATTTCGGTTACATCTATTTGAATGAAAAAAATGGCAACTTAGGAAGCACATAGGTCACTTATCGACGGTGAAACTACCAAACCACGTATCTCGGTTTGCGACGTCGCAGACTTTCTGTCATACTTTATTTTTTAAATGAAAAGCTACTTAACGGCCAGTCTTGAAAATTTCTGTGATTTTTTCTCTTCGCGCGGAGAAAATTCTGTGAAAATTTCAAGGAATGATATTGATTTGGTCTACTTCAAAAAAATAAAATGCGAGCGTAGATTTTTAAACACCGCAAACGAGATACGTGGTTTGGTAGTTTCACCATCGTTATGATGCGTATTCGGGCATATGCGTAGAGTAAAAATATCATACTTTACGCCGAAAAAACGAAACTGAAAGTTAAATGCGTTAACTTCCAAAAACCATACATAATCCAACGAAAATAAATAATTGGTAAATAACAGCTTTCTTGTATGCAAAGAAAAAAAATTAAAAATGTTAAAAAAGAGATGTCGACACAAAATTACATAGCCCCTTCAATTCTGAAGGTACTACAAACGAACTGTACCTTAAAATTTTCATATCCCAGAAGCAAAAGTTCCCATGACGAATATTGCTATCGCTAGCGATTGCAAAAACCAACTTGTTATATTTTGAAATCGGATAATTTTTATTGTGTTCTTCTTTGCACCGTTCAATTCGAAAACCATCCGAATTCAAGGGAATAAGTGCAGAGAAAAAAACGGGGTGGAGAGAAAAAAAAACTGACCGGAGCCAATAGTTTATATCTTTTGTAAATGCTTTTGGTGTATGTTGAAAATGTATCATACAGTTACTATTAAATACTAGAAAGCGATAAATTTAGCACGCCACGAACGTCGCCGACACACATCCGAACTACACGGGATATTCCGCAGTGCCAAGCGCCTTCAAACGAGTGTGGATACAGCATGCAATACATACAAACTGCTCCGCATTGGAAGCCTACTTTTCTATACCTGCGTTTAAGTATCTTTAAAATCACCACATGCGTATTGAAATTGCACAGGTTACTACGTGAGGGTTTTCCTTTTTTTCTTTCTTTCTTTTTTTTTCTTTTTATCACATAACTTTTCTTGAAAATCTCTTTCAGAAAATCGAGTATAGTTCAATTGGAAAACCATCCGAATTCAAGGGAAGAAGTGCAAAAAAATAGTGTGGAAAGAGAATGAATGCGACAATATCAATCTTACGATTGACTCAAAGAGGAAATTCGCGGCCGATCCTAAAAACAGTTTTTTTTCATAGTATTCTTTTTTCTTTTTCTTCCAATAAATTGAATGAATCGTTTTTGAATGAGTGGTTCGATCATTGTAAGGTGATCATTCTAAGTTTCGCTTCTGGTCACTGCGGTGTTTGTAAAGAGACACAAGAAAAAATGACGATACAACAAACATTTTGAAAAAATACAGTTCTCTACCGCTTCCCATGCTCTTCCTTTCAAAATCGTACTCTCTCTTGTAAGAAAAACGGTGCAAACATTTTGCAATGTGGTTCCAGAAAATCTGAAAAAGGTAGCAGCCTGAAAAAACGTTCGGTAAAAATTATTTAAGGTAAATGGCAGAACAAACTTGAAGCATCACCCTCTATAAACGAAACTGAGAAGTGACCAGAGGGCCTCCCAGCCTAAAGCTCTCCCTCCTCGATTGCATGGCTGGAGGCGAAAAGCCTGTGCCCCTCCCCCTCCCCTCCAAAAAAAAAAAATATTGAATATTTTTTTTTTTGCAGAAAAATGCGGTCCCTCCACCAGCAGTTAATTCTTAACTCTGGAAAAATCTCTTTAAGTTTCTCCTGTTTTCCATGTATGTAGATGACACAAATCGATTAAAACTATCTTTTTTTGATGTTAGAAACTGTCTCCTGGGTCCTAACTATACGGTGAAAGTATCGAATTTCGGCATGGCGAGGAACCTGTACTCCGCAGATTACTGTGATTTAGACGGTAAAACTGCATTACCAATCCGGTGGATGGCCTGGGAGAGCATACTTCTTGTAAGCAAAATTCATATTTCCTTCATTCTATCCCAACTTCAGTCATTTCCTGTGTGAACGGTCTCAATGGACCGCGTTAAACAGAAAAGAACCAAGCCATATCAGCTATTGCCAAATTTAATGGGGCATTAAAATGTTTTACATGAAAAAGGTTGTGCAGATTTCCGTGCAAGTTTCAGTAAATTTTCTCCACAGTACGAAGTAAATCCCATCAAACTTTCAAAGGAATCCGCACAAATGTTCACGCAGAAAAAATTAAATTGCCCAATTAATTGGCTTGGTTCCTTTCTATTAAACGCGATCCAATTAGTGAGGAACTTTACAGGATACGGTCTCAATCATTAAGGACAATCGCTGAAGAAAAAATATACAGTTCCAATCTTTTTTTAATAAGAGGGCCTACAGAACGTAAGTGGGCATATTTGGACGCATTTACATCGGAAGAAACTATATCAGAATTTAAATCTGCTAATTGACCAGTCGCGCTGAGGACGGAGGTCAGACCTCAGGCACCTCCAAAACGCGTCCGAAATTTTAATTATTTTACGATTTATGCGAGTGAGTGGTTTTAAGTTTTTAAATTTGTTACCAATTTTAACCTTGTGTGGTGACTGAAACTCCTTAAATTTTCATCTCATAAACTGTATCCATGGAGACTTTACCCCTGTCATGCATGTATTCTTATGGATCTCAGCGCTCATGTTAGAATGAATAGAGTTCCTTTTGATTTTAAGATGTCTATTTATCCTTAGAAATTGTAAGAGGTACAGACACCCTTGAAAAGATACTGGCTTGATGGTGATTGAGATGGACCTTCCTTTACTGTATGATGGATCCACTGGTATTGATCAAATATTCTCTATCTGATCTATGAATAACAACTGTTTGATTGCAGGGGAAATTTACCACCAAGAGTGACGTCTGGTCATTCGCTGTAACCTTATGGGAAGTTCTGACCTTTGCACGAGAGCAGCCTTTTGAGGAGCTGAGTGATCAACAAGTGATCGACAATGTCACACATTTTTACCAAAGATCAAAGCAACTAGTAAGTCCTCTAATACTGAGAGAAATCTCGCAAATGCCTCACTTATTTATCTGTTCTTAATTACTTTTCCTCTTTTTATTTGGATTTTATCGGTCATTTGTTCAATTTTGGACAACGACGGAGCATAGGTAAAGGCACAGGTACATCCCTTTCTCGCTCAGAAAAGTGTAAAGTTTAAGTTAAAGTTTAAAGTTTGAAGTTTGTAAACGAGAGGACGGATTAAACTTTAGATTTTCAAATCAAGTTTTGGAAAGAGAGAAGAGCATGCCATGAGTACCTTTTTTAATTTCTAGTGGTCAGTTTAGTTATTTTTATTGTAGACATTCAGCATCTTGGGCTTTTCATGTCATTACAGGAAATATGAAGAGTGAGTACAAATACAAAAATTTACATTCTTACCTTAATGGATGCAAACAATTTCAAAATTTTGGTCGTAACACTGGGCTCATCGGAGGTTAGTGTGTTTGTATCCCTGGTAAATGCGTGGCAGCAAATATATATTTTTAAAAAATAAACTACATGTTCTGTACCGGTGAGATCTGGATGTCTATTAGGTCAATCCTCACGAAATTTTTGAGAATGTAGCGATGCTTCTTAGAATTTGCCAAATTTGATCACATTTAAAATTCCTCAGTTTTTTAAAACAAAATTCAAAGGTTCCATTCACGTATGAACGCTGCGGTCTAGTTTTCTCTTCGTTGCCTTGCGCGGTTATTCACCTCCAGCATCCTCATTCCGTCGAAGTCGCAGAAGCAAATCCAGCAAATTGGCAACACCGGATTTCCTCCATTTAAAGCTATGCTAAGTAATCGATTCGTGTCGGAGCACCTGGCCCCTCCAAGAATCGATACATTTCCATAAGTTTAAATGGAGAGAAGACAATGTTGCCGATTTGCTGGATCCGTCATGGCAAAGTCGTGAGCATTTCTAGAATCGCCTACCGATATTTGGACTGCATTCTGCAATTTGGACCTATAAATTCCAGCCCCGTTTAAAAACAACGTATGTGCCATTAGTTTCTCTATGCACGTAAGTGTTTTTTCAGATGAGCCAGAGTTTATAGGTCCAAATTGCAAAATGCAGTCCAATGTTTTGAGGTCTCGTGAAATCTATTTGTGGCTTCAATGAGGGGGCCACACTTTCAACCGATACTCTTTCCCAGCGAGGGATTATTCTATCTTGGCTGTTCAAAATTTTAGTGAAAATATTTGTGAGGGTTTTTTGAAAACACCAATACCTAACAAAAGCAAAAGTGAGAGGAGAAATTTACCAGATTTTTGTCAACGCCTTACCTAGGATTTTGTGCGAGAACGTTGGGCCAGCTTCTTTCAAATACTTCATAATTTATTCGTTTTTTTAAGAACTCGGTCCTTGGTCGCTCTGATTTGATGACCCTGAGACAATTATGAACGTAAGACATTTTTTTTTCAAGCTTCGGGTCTTGTCGCACTGGGCTCTGAATTCATTGTAGGTTGATTTATATCTCTGGCCGGACTTTTTTCTTCATCCAGATTTCTTCAAAATCTCCAAGCAAGAGAATACAATTGTGTTGAGATGCGAGCTCGAATTTTACCTGAAATGACCAGAAAACGATTTTGCCGCAATCGTCATTCTTTGAAGAGGGAGAGTAGAAGGCTTAGCCCATATTTTTAAACGGCAACGTTGTAATATTTAAACAATCAAATCATTTTTCGGAAATTTGACAGTGTCGCGATAGGCATCAGTAACAATTTACTTCATCAGCACAAAGGCGACCACGGGTTAAGTGAAACAAGCTTAGCGCCCTTAGTTAGTCTCGAATGCGATGAACACAGTACACATTTCATTTTAAGTCCTCGGTACAACTATTCGGGCTCCACGGATGTCCGTGTTGCGTACCTCAAAATTGAAGGCGTTTTGACTGTCCTGACACTCACCGCTTCACCCGCGGCGTCAATGCTGCCGTGCGCTGAGGCAAAACGCCCTATGAACATTTGAGAGTTGCCAAATCTCCTTCGATAAAATGTTTATTTTCGAGGAAAGTTATGAATATTCTGCCTTAAAATTTTCAGGATCTTTAGGTGAAATTGTGAAGAAAAGTATCTGCAAACTTGGAAGAAAAAGATTCATAGGTTAACCAGGAAATTCTTGTTTTGTCGAAGGAAACTTGGCAGCGTCTGAAGGTTCATACGGCGTTCTTTCTTAGTACGGCAGAATGGCGGGCTTTACCGCGAGGATCCAAGTAGCAGAGCGCTTTTAACCCTTCGTTTTACGCTGTAAAGATGCACGAATAGTTGCGTATAGAGACGTGTCTCATGTGCTTCAGTTTTGATATCGCGATGTGCTGAGCATGTTTTTTAGAGCAACTCTTCATGTCTATAAGATGCCTTCGAAGTATAAATGAAGAATTGAAAACACTCTATCATTTTAGATCCTCGAGTACAGCCCGTCGCACTAAGAAACGAGCCTTTTAGAGAGGTTGGACATAAAATTTTTGACTACAACTGCAAATTTTGACGTTAATGTCTTCCTATTATAAATTGTATGGGGTGCCTCTTGAAGGAAACTTCACAAGAAAATCAACGAAGCCACTTCTGAAACCTCGACGTTCCGTAATAACATCGAAATGGGCTTCTAAAGTTTTCACATTTTGTCTCGCTCCTCTCTTTGACTCGCCCCACTGAGCGCCGCGCACCGCTGGCTGTTGAGGTGGTTAGTTTCTGAAATCAAAACGCCTTCACCTCAGTGCGTATGCAACACGGACATCCATCGAGCCCGAATAGTTGCATCCAGACATAATGATGAACTTCGTTTAGTATTAATCGTACAAAATGCGAAAAATTGTTTAAATGCTTAAAATTGTTTCTCTTATATCGTTGCTTATTGTGCACTGGAGAAAAACACATTGGATCTAGAGTCGAGACTCTCAAAAACATCGACAAGAAAAAGTACTCTTGATTCAATCAGAATCTAGCTTAAATCAAGAACCAAGCCTCTTAATTCAAGCGGATTTCGTTTTGATTCAAGCAAAAATCCGATTGAATCAAGAGTCCTTTTTCTTGTCAATGTTTTCAAGAGTCTGGACTCTAGATCCAATGTGTTTTTTCCCCGGTGAATTACAAGCTTCATTAATGACACGTTTATGATTTCCTAGGTGCAATGGCGAAAGCATAGCACAATAAAGTCCGATAAAAATATTAGTGAAAATTATATTATGTTTTGCTTTTTCCCTTCTGAAATGTGAACCGAGCTTATTATTTGTATTCTATTACGTGCCCATACATTGCTGAATTCAGACAAACCAGCAAAGATATCTCTGAGCGGTAATTTGAAAAGAGGAGCTGACCACGTAGTGCAATTAAAATAATTAACTTTAAAATAACAAATTCTTTAACTTAAAGGGGGTTTTTTTGTCTTTTGAGTAACTGAAGCAATGCTTAATTTCCTGACGATAGGTAACTCAAAAATTGTATATTTACGATTACAGGTCCTTCTTCCAATGCCTATCAACTGTCCAAAGGAGATATACGATTTGATGCGTGAATGCTGGCAGTGTAAGGATACCGACCGACCGACTTTCCGGGAGATTCACCTGTTTCTCCAACGCAAAAACTTGGGATATAAACCTGAAATGACTTAAAGTGCATTTACTTATAAATATACACATTGTGTTACCACTCTTGGGTAGAGGATCATGGACATCTTCTTGCCATTGTATGTAAGCCACTGAAATGGCTCCTGCAATCATCACTTTCTTTCATTGAGATTCCATGTCGCAACATCAAAACAGCAACGGTTAATTAAATGCTCAGATATTTGTCAAAAATAAAATCAATTCAGATACGTGCAGCGAGAGATTGTAAATTCGGTTCTGTCTAAATATTAAAAAAGAATATTGAAGGAGACATGAAGATTTATTGTTAAATTTGATTTTTTTGTCTTGTTTTGATACAAACTTTGACGCGTTATACGTTTTATTAACGCTCAGGGTATTTCCGGTAGGTATAATATTTTTTCCGCTAAAAAACCTCTAGTGCTATTTTTCCTTCAAAAACGTTATAAACATATATGACTGTGCTGGATGGTGCGTCCATAATGAGCGCCAAGTAATAATGATGTCAGCCTGGACAAAATGTATTCACTAACTGTATTTGTTTTGAATTCCGTCACCGCAACGCCAATGGAATCATTTCATCTTTTTCCTAATTTTACTTCTATGAAACTGGTGAAATAATTACCATACTAGTGGCTTAATTCATTGGAATTTATACTGATTAATACTTCCACTAGATGAAAAATAAATTGAGTAAAAAAAAAATAAGTGAAGGCACGGTACATTTTTTTCATTTAAAACAATGAAGTCAATTTTGTGCTTCATTGAGATAAATGAAGGTTTTATTAATGGCGGAATCCCAGTCTTAACGCCATTACTATGGCTGAATCGTAGTATGGACTTGAATCACCAATCGATTGTTAATGACAAGGAATTTGAGCAAAAAAATGTTCGACATGGTGCATAAAATACATAATCAATACTTAAGTATACTCTGGTTGCGATTTGTTGCATAAAGATGGACACTAGGAGTTTGAGTCAAGTGGTCTGTATTATTGCTTTCTGTGATGTTATTTAGTTTTTAAGCTAGGAATCAATTATTATGATTGTAAAGTACATCTTGTAATTACTTTAATTTATTTTCTTTTCAGTTGAACAAATATTCTCTTCTGACGTTGTAAATAACACTAATTTTTTACATAAAAAACTTGATCAGTTTTTCGAGAAGAACTTTGAAAATTTTAATTTTTGCTGTCAATGGGTCAGTTGCGCTGGTCACAGAATCGTGTTTTGATGTTTGATTCTTGTAGATTAGCTGAAAACAATAGGATCTGCCTCAACCGCAATTTTCTACGTTCAATATTAACCGAGATAGCGCCCTTTGAAAAGTTGGGTTTTTTATGTCATCCACCGCGACAGTGACATCCTTGCCCTGGTAAAAATTGGCAGTAGAATCTGTGTTCCAAAATACCATAGACCTACAGAAGGCTGTAAGATTTCCAATAGCTTCTATAGCCGGCTACACAATTTGTTATAGCCTTTTATAGCCGATGGCGATTAAGCAACAGCCAGGCGATAAAGTGTATGCTAAACGTTGCTAATTACGGATGCTAGGACTTGGTGAATTTTTGGAATACTGCTCTCTTTTTGGGCCGTGGTATCTTGATTTATTTTGCGAGGAAAGCTCCGTACTTTTGATGGATGCCTGCCATTACTAATATATTAGAGCGCCTTCAGTTTCGTATGATACCGTGCAATACCTCGAGTGTGAAATAGTTGCTTCAAGCGCCGTGGCAGGCGGGCAGCCAGCGCGAAACACGCATTGGCGCCTGCAAACCTAACAGGGATACTTCACGCGTTGCGCGATGCGTGAAGTATCCCTGTTAGGTTTGTAGGCGCCAGTGCGTCGCCGCTCCGCTTTGTGTTGGGCTCTAATATTTAAGCTGACGGAGTCAGCGTTATTCAACTCATGATTTTGAAATGTTTGCACATCCTGTATTGATTATTCTAATTTTAATTGATGAAAAAAAATATGTATTAAAGGAAAATATAATGTGTGTTTTGTAAATACTAGGGTGGTTCCGTATCAAACTTAATGATTTCCAAAGCACACGAATTTCTACACAATTTCTCGTAGCCTTTTATAATCGATGGCGAAAAAGCAACAGCCAGGCGATAAAGTGTAAAGCCCGGCGATAGGAACTATAGCTCGGCTGCATAGGTAATTTTTTATCACTTCGTATAGCCCGGCCGTATGATTTTCTCCGCATCCTACAGCCAGCTATATGATTTTCTGCAGCCTTCTTTAGCCGGCTATAAGAATTCCTACGGTATTTTGGAACGCAGCTCTTATCGCCAATTTTTACCAGGGTGGTTTCTTCCTCTTTTGTTCGATTAGTGATGCAGCAGTGGGTGCAACGCGAAATTTCAGCGACGTTAAACGTATACAAACTGAGGTGAACTGACTGAGCGCCTAATCTCCTGATAAGAAGATCTGTAAAGTGTGAATCCGTCTGTTTCTTGGGTTTAATTGCGTTTAACGTCGTTGAGGTTTCGCGTTGGACCCTCTGCATCACTGGTCGAACAGAAGAAGCAAGAGGAAGGAACCAAAGATGTCACTGCCGCGATGGATGACGGCAAAAACCTGACTATTCAAAGGGCAATATCTCCGTTAATATTGAACGTAGAAAGTTGCGGTTTGGACAGATCTTATTATTTTTCGCTAATCTACAAGAATCAATAATTAAAACAAGATTCTGTGACCAGCACAATTGACCCATTTCTACCCTTTGATCGAATCAGCTTTAGTGAGCCACTTCGGGACATCTCCTGCTGAACTTTTGATGTCGACACACAGTTCAACCCATGCAATCTTAAGCAAGTTTAATGTGCATGCTACCTATCTATCTTTGTACTCAAACCGAGGACAATAAATTGAATTTGTATTTCATTCTGTACATGTGATGTGGCGTGAGGAAATCAAATCAACAAGTAAAATGGGCGACTAGACAAAGTCTTAGCAAGAAAAAAAAATGCCCATGTTTTATTTTTCCTTCAAACTTATAAGTGTAGAAAACGATTTACACAATGGGAGGTCTGATCGTGATAATATCAAATATGTTTCACGAAGATCGAATAGTAATTAGTTTATACAAATAAGGTTATTTGCAATTTGCCATTTCACCTATGTTGATTAAAACAGTTATACCTTGTTTAGAGGTTAATGTTAATTCCAGACTTCTCGTTCTGTAATTTGTTTTCCTGGGGAGACTTCGAATAAAAAACATGTTGCAAATGGCTTTAAAACATAGACTCTACGCCAAATATGTTTATTAAATTTTCCAATTTTACAGTGTAACAGAGGACCCGCCATCTTAATGCTTGTAGCTACTTCGAATGCTGAGCTGACGATAGCTGATTTTCTGTCGCGCTGGTAATAAAACATTTTTTCGACGATTTTTCGCCCGCGCACTTGTTTTTTCGAGTAGTTTACGTCCACGGGTTTATCGGCAGGGGAGTTTCGGTCCACTAACCAGTTGAGACACAATGTTAATTGGTCCACATGTAAATACAAACGACAATTGCTCACGACATTTTTGGATGAAAATGTATAATGTCTTGGAAGAAGGGGGTTTGCTTGTTTGTTTGGTCCAACGGAGAAAAATATAAAATTGAGATTTTTGGTAAAAATGGGGGAGCGTCAGTTTCATGAGGGAAAATTCACTAAAACTCTCCACACCTCTTTGGTGCACAGGACTTAATTATCTTTCAAGAAAATCCCACCATGTTATACCTGAACCGGATAAACATTTTGATTTGCCTCAGGTAAAGGCTCTTGGTTTTTCCTGTGTACGATAAGGTCGCGACGGCGCCGGCGTGCCGCAATGCTTCGGGCTACTATTTCGCCACGGAGGTGTTGCACAGTATCATCGAGACTGAAGGCACCCCAACGTATCATGATTGATGGCATCTTTCAGAAGCACGAAGTTCGCCCTCCTAAGTAAAATCTAGTGACGGCGACAAACAGAGAGCGGTAGTTGAGAAACTTACTAAATTCTAATACCTGTATTCAATAACCAATATTTCAACTTTACCGCCGAGAAGATTTCATTATGAATCAGTAAAAAAAATAATGCTTGTTAAAGAAGAAAATATGCTTATACTTATAACAAGTTAAGTCACTTCGGGGTTGCCAGCCGAATTATTTTTTTCCATTCCCTGACTTTTCCCTAACTTTTCCCTGACTTTCTAATATTTTTCCCTGACTTTTAAGTATGGATCTGACGCAGTCTGTTAAAGTGAAATTGATCCGGTTGATCCCGCAACGCGAGCCCGAGACCGCCCTCGCCTAATTCCACGAAAAATCAGAAAAATCCCTGACCAACATCGAAATTCCCTGACTTTTCCCGGTTGATTTTTCATCCCTGACTTTTCCCGGTTTTCCCGGTCGCTGGCAACCCTGTCACTTGCATCAAGCAGAAGCCCGCTCTCATTCAGCTATCTGATCCTTGATTCAAAATAAAATCGTCTTGACGGCACACTCAAGAATGTTTCTACCTAAGTCGAGTCCGTTTCTTCCCTAATAAAATTCAAAAATTAAGCTAAACGTTATTAAATACGGATGCTGGGACTTAGTGAGTTTTTGGGCTGCCGCTCTCTTTTTGTACCGCAGCATCTTGATTTATTCGGCGAGGAAAACTCCATACTCTTAAAGGAATGTCCGTCATTCTTAATATGATGGAGCGCCTGCAATTGCATATGATACTGTTCAACATCTCTGTTGGGAAATAATTGCTTGAGGTGCCGTGGCACGCTACGGCGCAGCGCGGGCAGCCGGCCATCGCGAAACGCGCATTGGCGCCTACAAACCTAACTGGGATACTTCACGCATTGCGCAATGCGTGAAGTATCCCAGTTAGTTTTGTAGGCGCCAGTGCGCGTTATTCGTGCTGGCAGCTCGCCGCTCCGCTCTGTGTTAGGCTCTAATATTTAAACCCGCGGAGTCAGCGTTTTTCAACTCATGATTTTGAAATGTTTGCACATTCTGCATGGATTATTCTCATTTAAATTGATGAAAAAAATAAGTATAAAAGGAAAATATAATGTGTGTTTTGTAAATATTAAGGTGATTCCGTGTCAAATTCAATGATTACCGAGGCTTTTTAATTTTTTGTTTTACATTTTGTGCTTTTACTGTGCTGCAGCGTGGTAAACGCGCAACCAAACGCTCAAAATTGGACGTATCTGACTCTAAAAGATCGATGTACAAATGGGCTAAAACTAAAGATCGCGTGCTTCTTGGCTTTTTCCCCTCTTTCATTCAATTTTGTACAGTTTCTTTCAACACAACTGCAGTTCATTCAGATTAATATCGATCCCATCGCTTGGCAAAGGTTTTACAAATATTTGCCACGTTTGAAAAAATGTTAATTTTTTTAACATGAAGTAATATTTTCATTTTAAAAAAAGAAAAGGATAGAATTAAAACCAAATATTCACCAGTGAAAATTTGAAAAGATGAATAAGAGGTAGGAAGTAACATTTCATTCAAAAAATGAGTTACCATAACACCTTCTTTCCTCTCAATTGTCGATATAATTTTACAGACGGACTAAAATATAACGCTTAGACCAAATCACTACTGCTTATTTTATACGCGTGGACATAAACTACTGGGCAACACAGGTGCGCGGACAAAAAATCGTTGACGGACCGTCCTGAAATCTTCGCGCTCTAAAAGTGCGTTACCTAATTTTAAGTGAACTCTACATTGCTCAGAGGCCCATTGGATTGATGTTTAAATTGAATGTCAGATTTTCAGGCAAAGTTTCGTTGTGAATTATGTAAAAAAATATTTTGCTACTTGCGGAACATGTTCGTACTCTAAATCTTTCAATTATTATCTTCACTTTTATTGGTTGATTTTTCAATTAATTAATTTATAAAGCAACAGGCAATTTTCGAGTTAGTCCAATTTTTGTATCCTCCACAAAACGTATTGACTTTCTTGCCAGACTGTACATTATACAGAATGTCATCTGCAAGGATAAATAAGAGTGAAATTCATACAATAAAATCTGATAGATAGAAAAAAAACGAAAAAACGAGGAAAAAACCGACCCCAATGAATATTTATTAATTTTGTATTTTTGTGATGAATGAATAAATCTTTGACTTACTTGAAACGTTATTGATGGCTATTTTTGTTCAACGTCTTCCTTTTCTGGGCATGGTTATTTATTTTCCAGCTCTCAATCTAGTTTTATTTATTTATTTTCTTTGTCTAATTTTTTTTTTTAGGAGCGCACAATTAAAACAAAAGAAATTTTCAAATCAAAAGCACTTACAGCGCTTCGATACGATAAGCTGCGCTTGCTTCTTTTGAAGTTATCTACTTATTAGTAAAACCATACAATGTTTTTTTAAATCAAAACTTGGACTCGGACACAAATGTTTATCTGGTGGTCAAATATTTCTGCTCAGGTTTGTATTTCACCGTTAGAGAAAAATTGCAATCGAACACCTACAATACGACGGTAAAACTACTAAACCACGTATCTCGGTTTGCGACGTCGCAGACTTCCTGTCATACTTTATTTTTTAAATGAAAAACTACTTAACATCCAGTCTTGAAAATTTCTGTGATTTTTCCTCTTTGTGCGGAGAAAATTCCGTGAAAATTTCAAGGAATGATATTGATTTGGTCTACTTCAAAAAAATAAAATGTGAGCGTAGATTTTTAAACACCGCAAACGAGATACGTGGTTTGGTAGTTTCACCGTCGAATACCGTTGCGGTAAAATGACGTTATACTGTCAATGAACACTCATTACGCCGGTGCTCATTTCGTCGCTCCTCTGGCGTAAGAGCGTATCTCTATTTCCACATGAGTCTTGAAACCAGTGGCGTGGCGTGAATTGCGATATATCGATTGTCACGCCGTTGAAACCTATGGAAAAGGATCGATAAACGGGGTGTTTGCAGCGAACACCTTAATAATCGATTCTTTACCATAGGTTTAAATGGCATAACAATCGATATATCGCAATTCACGCCACGCCACTGCTTGAAACGCATAGAGTTGTAGGTACGTAGAACAGGGCTCACGTGGATATCGAGAGGCGCTCTTACGTCAGAGGAGCGAAGATTTATCACTACCACTCCTGAAAGGACCCTGCATGGAAAGTCAAGGGATTCGGCGCTGGTTAAATTAGATATGATGTTCTTCATGACCTTTTAAGCATAATATTAAAAATTGAGCTTTATACGTGCCAATTTTGAGAAAATCAGGGCAGAAAACTGAATTTTTATGCATTTAACAGAGAATTTGCGAAGGTCTGAAATCTTGTGATTTTCATCTTTAAAATGATACTACTAGGAAAATTGAGTACGAGGATATCCTTGGTTTCTAAATTGAACAATTCATTGGAGAAAATAATATGAAAATAACCTAACCTGCTAAAATACATGAGTTTAAATGGAAAATGACGCCAGATGACGTCATAAGGCGGCACATTTTCTCACTATTAAATCTATTTTTCTCAAATTTTCCAGGTCAGAAAAAAATTATGAAAAATATTGCGAACTCAGCTCATTAGGCACTCTCGGATGAAGCAATAAAGTTTTTGTGTGCCAATTCTCAATTGCGCACTCGCAACACCGTAGAAGCAGTGGCGTGGCGTGAATTGCGATTTATCGATTGTTATGCCATTTAAACCTATGGTGAAGAATCGATTATTAAGGTGTTCGCTGCGAACACCCTGTTTATCGATCCTTTTCCATAGGTTTAAATGACCTAACAATCGATATATCGCAATTCGCGCCACGCCACTGCATAGAAGTGATCAAGAGAAATTCTTCTTTACTTATCGGGCGAGAAGATAAAACAGACAAAAATAACTCAAGTTACTTTAATTAATAATAGCGTACGGCATAGCGTCCGCCATGTCATCAGTTTCCGAAAAAAGGACCCACAGGCCCGATACAGCAATCTTGATATGAAATTGCTGAAAAATGGACTCCTCAGCCCCATTTATGTAAACACTGGCCGAAAAAAGTTTGAATTTTTAGGCTCATAGTGCTTAAGGGTTGTGGAGAATATTACATCCAATAATACGAGATTTACCTGGCACTTCATTTTTGTTTTCAGTGCAAGGTCCTTTCTGCTGGATTTTCCGATCGTAAATCAAAATCGGTAGTACTATAATTCAGGCGGAAGAGACAGATACCAATTACTGGCTTGCTATAGAGATAAATGATAAAATCTGACTTCGTCATGGACAAATCTTTTCACTTTATTAATTAAAATATAATTTGAAATGTGTATACAGTGCATTCATGGACAATCAGCCATGATATCTGAGAAAATTACAAAAAAAATAATGATAAGACACACAAGAAAAACTTGGGGCAGTACCCGTAACAAGAGAGAATGATACAGAGGAATCCGATATCGAATCCATAGAAAACAGTATCAATTTAACGGTATGAGAGTTCAGCAATCATCTACGCTTATGGCTTTGAAATTAACACTATTACTTTACATGTTTCGTTGTAGCTTAAGCTAACCTTCCAGTTTTTATTGAGAAACCGAACTATGTGTTAACAAATTTTAGAGAGAGCATCGTTCCATACATAAAAATAACAGAGCATGAAAATAAGGAAACTTGTGAAATGAAAAAGGCAATTTTGCGACTGACAAAACTTGAAAATCTATGAATTTATAGGATGCATCTCACAACAAAGGAGCTGATTAAATCAATAGATTCAACATGATATTATTGTTGCTTAGTTTGTTGGGGTCGTACACAACAAATTACATGTACATAGTTGGTGACATATAATTGGGAAAAAACGGGTGAGATGCAGAATATTGGGAAAGAATCATTGATTAAATATAGCATTGAAGGCGTTGCGGATTCTAGATGAAGATCTAGAAATTCTTAACCAAGCGTCAGTTAAACAGAGCTTTCCTGTGACACCTCTGTGCCTCCGCCAAGGTTCGCATCAAGTTCTGTTAATAATCAACCCGAATCTTAAAACTGAAAGAGTGCTGGGCACCCAACGAAGCTGTCCCAGCACAGACAAATTCAATTATGTCTCATGCAACATCATAATTATTGTTCTGATGAGAGAAAAATAAACTTTTACATTGCTCGCTATCTTTCCTGAGTCTTGTCATATCCCTCCAGGGAACTTCCAGTTCAGGAGCTGGCTAATGTTAGTTTGAAAGAACTGAGTTATCTTTTGGAAAATGTTCAACTTGTTGGGATACTATTCCCCGATTAAATAATTTGAAAAATCTGTTCTTCTGAGTAGTCCAGGAATAGATCAAAAATCGCCGATTAGAAGAAGCGATTATATATGAGGTTTCATGTGCCTACGTTGTTATTAGGGTGTCTGAGACTCCCAGCATAAAGTCCCCAAGAATCCCTGTACGTTGCCCCCCCCCCGGCCCCCCTTCGACCTTTTTCCGGTTTTTTACTATTTTGCTGAAAATTAGAAAATACAAACTCTGGCGCAAGCTAGGAAGGGAGTTTGTATTTAAGGAAATCGCTACGATTTGTAGTGACGGGGAAAGCATTCATATTTGGACTCCTTCGCCCCCCTCCCCCCTACCCATACCCTCAACTTTCCCCTTTCGATCGCACATCTGTTTCACGAACCAGTAATTAAGTGCTCGGTCTCGCGTGGGAGGACGGCACAGTCCCGTACAAACATGTTTCAACGATTTTTGAAATCGTAGCAAGGGGATTACGAACGCAGACGCTGGTTCGTTGAAGATGAGAGAACTCTACAGCTTCTCCTCCGTTACAAATCAATCAATGTTAAATCAAGATTCACACCCCCTCCTCCTGTCACTTTGACAAACTTTGTCATTGCCTGATTCAAAGTTTGAAACTGCGTCCAGTAACTGGGATACATCCCAAGAAGAGGAAGATATCAGAAATTGCGCATATTGTCATGCAAATTGTGCAGTTAAGAAAGCTGTGGCCATGTTTAAACGATTCCCGTCGGATAACGAGTCAACGCCCCCCCCCCTTTATCCGTTGAGTTACGGTTTTCGGGTGTATATTTTGTTTGCGAATGACTTAACGGTGCATATTGTATTCCTTATCAATTACTCTTCTTCCATAATGTGTGTTTGAAGTTGTCTAAATACGTATGCATGCTTTCAGCATGAATGATATTTTGTAACTGAAAATGTGTCCGAAATTCTGACGAATGAACGCGTCAAGAATGATGGATCACTGATGTATCTTATTTCTTATCGACTAATTTGCAGAACTTCTCAGAGAGGACCTATTTTTTACCGCAAGCTTCGACCGCTCTGTCGGTATCGACACTTGCCGAAGAAACTCAACTGCTAATTTTCAGGAACTTGTTGAGAATCCTCTATTTTGGCTCGAGACATGTAAATTTATGGCTCACATTTATGTGGTGATCATAAACTCATTTCACCATTGTCTATACCCAACCACGAGTGCACAAAAAATTTCCACACTGAATTTAGATTTGTTATCTTCAATATTTACCCGGTAAAGGAACGTTAATATTTATGCAAAATCTCTGCTAAAAAGTTGCTGCTCTGCTAAAAAGTTGCTCTGCTAAAAGTAATTGACTTAAATCGTAATTTGCATATTTTTTATCTTGCACTAATTCATAGGTGGAGTGAAGACGGTCCAACCAACGAAGTGCTCTTTTCATTCTAGGAAGCTGCCTGTGTTTTTTCATTAAGACGGTACTACACCTTGCACACAGAAAAAATAATAGAGCAATAAAAAAAGATAGCCCCAAAAGATGCATGTTTAAAAAAGTTAAAAATAAAAGGGCCACTGGCAATCTTCGCCCTCTTCTTGATATTTTTCACATTCAACCGGTGTCAATTTAAAATTTGAGACTGGTTTTAATTCTAAAACATGATTATCATTCCGTTGATAAAATATTTGTAGGCGCAATTTATGCAAATTATCAGAATCTAAAAAATCGTGGACAAAAGTGTCTGGTTTGAGTAATAATTTGATAGTACGAATACCAATAAATAATCGTTGTATTTTTTCAGGTGGTTGAGCAATTCTTAAATGGCTAAATATCTATGAACATGAGAGAATAATACAGATTTACAGATCAAGAAATTATTTTTAATTTCAGCTCTAGAATTTGATAAAAAGAATACACGTACACTAAGAGCAATTTCAAAATTTAGCCTCTCTAACACGAGTAATTCTTCATTTTTTATTTTGTTTTTTCTCTGTTTCATCGAAACAAGAACCAAGAAGACTAATGAATTATAACGCATAGAAGAGTAAGTAATTGCACTCTTAGTGCAGCGCTGCGTGATTATGAGTAATTCTCGCACTATAATAATGTGAGAAGGCGGTAAGGCCGTCAAATGAAGAAAAAAGTAATTTTTTACTCTTAAAGGTACGCAATCTTAAATCTTGGTTTCCATAGTAAAAAAACATGCAAACATACAGGAATAATGGGAGTATATAAGAAAATTCACCCAAGAAAAGCCCTTAGTTTTGCGAAAAAAATGCCGCATAGACTGCGGCATTTACGCGATTTTTTCATAGGAGTAACGGTTGAAGAATATAAGAATAATATAGAGTTAAAAAAAGTAGATGTTAATTCAAGTGTGTTTGTGAGTAATGTATATGCGGGTTTTTGTTATTTAACTTTTTGTTTTTTAAAATTTGAAGATTTAGCTGTTTTTGAAGAACTGTGTGAATGCTTAGATTATGAATATTTATTAGTTATAAACAGATGGTTAATTACGCCATATTGGCAATTAGAAGTAGAGTTTAAAAACATGAGTGAATGGTACAAAGACTTAGATATTATGTTATGGATAATGAAACCACATATAGACAAAGTGATATTAAAAATGCGCAAAGAGAGAACTGAGAACAAAGATTTTTACTTAACAGTAACGAGTGAAGAGTACAGAAATAGTATAGAATTAAAAAAAGTTGATGTGAATTCAAGTGTGTTTCTTAGTAATGTAAAAGCGGGGTTTTGTTATATAACTTTTTGTTTTTTAAAATTTGAAAATTTAGATTTTTTTGAGAAATTGTGTGAATGCTTAGATTATGAATATTTACTAGTTATAAACAGATGGTTAATTACGCCATATTGGCAGTCAGAAGTAGAATTCAAAAATATGAACAGATTTTATAAAGAACTAGATATTATGCTATCAATGTTAAAACATTATGTTGAAAAAGTGATCATAAAAATGCGGAAAGAGCGACGAGAGCGGCGGGAGCGACGGTAAATGTTTTTGGTAAGTAGCGCATGTTTTTTTTTTAAAAATCGGGTTCCAATCTAATCACTTGGAATCAATACTTTCTTGAAAAGAAATGAGAACCAGTCACTGTATGTCTGCATTTGTTTGAATTTCACTATTAAACACTATATGCCCATCCAATGTGTCGTCCTCTATCTTACAACAATTATTAATTCCTACCACACATTCCTACCTTGCCAACAAAGGCCTACCTAAGGCCATTTCAAACAATCCTGAGCAACTTTTCGAGGCAGTTCGAGCTAACTCACCGACTATATTAAGTGAAGAGATAAAATTTTGTCTATACAAAATAATAGCCAAAAATTTACTTTTGTACTGCCGTCATTGTTACGCGTTTGATACACCACGAAGAGAGTCAACACCAGATTTAGGCCGTCGATAGTGGCTCGCATCAAATACAACAACGAGACTCGCGCGAAAGATTTTCCTGCCGAAGTATTTAGCAGAAAAAATTAAGGATGAAGACTTAAAAATTATATACGAAAAAACCCTCAACATAAAGTAAAACGGAGCATTCAGGGCCACGCAAAATTTTGAATTAGTCGATAGGAAGTAAAAGCGGAGATGAATGAAAGGCTATGTCTTGCGCATACTGCTGCTTACTCTCTTTCAGTAGCTGCAATTTACGATCTCTTAAGCCTTCAAAACTTAAATCCAGAATTAAGAATCCATCTAATTCACTGCTTTGCACTCAATTACCTAACTAAGTATTATTATCTACATCAGATTTGCTCATCTGACTGCAGACAGGTTTTTCATCTAAAATGTTCTAAAGTTAGGAAAACAAACATCCAATCGAAAATAAACATTTGATCGAAGCTATCACCGGATACTACTTGTATAAACTGAATTTTTATTCTTGAATCCTTTGTTTCCAGGAAAAATAAAAATTAAATGTCTCTTTCAAGTATCGTGAAAGACTTGCGGCATTTCCTAGCGAATAACCCTGAACAACTCGGCGAAGCAGTGCGAAGAGATTCACCGTTAAACCTTAGCAAAGAAGTTAAATTCTGTTTTTATAAGATCATTGTTAAACATTTATTTATAGCAACCTCCCAGTTTTATGGGAATCAAAAACTTGATTCCCCGTAATCAATACCAAACCACGAAATGGACCATTAATTACGATGCCGAACACCAGTTTCATCGGTCCCATTTTACTTTCCATTTTCCCCGCGCCTCAAACGAGTTAGCCGCGTTCGCGAGGCACGGACAGTTGCCCGATGGCACACATTTTTCTACTCCGCCCGACCAACGACCGGCCCCTTCCCCCTCGCCCCGTCATCCCGCCGTCCCTCAGCTCGGTTATCCCAACTTTTTGCAGAGGTAGTTCCCCTTTTCACGCGGGAATTCAAACTAGACGCGGCGACGGAGTAATGCGCTTTTGAAAAAAAGCAGACGCAATTTGAGTCTAAGCGTCGCGCCGTGGAAACTTCCCTTGAGGAGCAGCGTCAAAATCTCCACCGAGACGCTCGCGACGCTTTGCACAAAGCGCAACAGGCTATGGAGGAGGCTTCGAATTTCCAAGCTCTTTTTCCCGAGAAGCGGCAACACCTACCGCGTCTCAGGTTGATCAATCCCGATCCCCCCGTCCCCCATCAACCCACGAACTTTGAAATTTGGTCCGACTTCGCCGCGAAAGTTACCAAAAAATTAAGGGATACGCGCGCGGATCCCAAAATCCAATTATTCCTCGCGAGAAAAATATCGGCCGAAATATTTAACGAAGATGATGATTTGTCCATTCTCTCCCGTCGCCTTGAGTTTTTCGATGCTACCGGAGCTGGACCCAGCAATCACGCCCCGCCATATGCGGTTCCCTCCGCGAATCGTGACAATAATCTTTCGCCCCTCGAATTACCTGCGCGTCGTTTAGAATTTTATATGTACTGAATTTTTATTCTTAAATCCTTTAAGGAATTAAAGGAAGATCTAAAAATTATATACAAGAAAAAGCTAAACATCAAATACAACGGAGCATTCAGAGCCACCCACAATTTTGAACTAATCGATAGAGAGTAAAATGTTCTTCCAACATGCTCTCGCATCAATGCAATGACTTTAGTACGTATGACCTGGAGGAAAAAATTCATATCTTCCGGAATATTTTCCCGCCGGATAGTTTTAAACTATTCTGTTTCGTATTCGATGAATTTATTTGGTCTATACAACCATTATGGGATAATAATAATTCTATTGAAATTCTTTCAGCATCAATTCTGTACCCTCTGCTTATGGATTGTTTTGAGGTGCCAGACAGTTATAATTTTATTTACCGACACGCTTATCAAAATTGTACCTATTATAATAAATATAAAACCGTGTTTGACGCCCTTGGAGGGTTCAAAGATTTTTGCCAAGATATTTCTCAAAAAGATACGAGTCGGGCTTTATCGAATTTGAGGGATACTTTAGAGTTGATTATGAACCCATCCATTTTGGATAAAATAATCATCACTTCCAGGAAATTAAACAAAACGCATCCACTTAAGCGTTGGAAAATGGGGACTTTTTAGATGTGATAGTGTAAGATTCGGAAGTGTGTCCGGTTCGATTTATTGTTTAAGGGGTTGGTTTATTAGTAAAGGACCCGAGCTTGCCGGAACCAATCAAGCCCCCCCTCTAGACAATTAATCGAGTCGGGCTCAGTTAACAATTTCATGCAAATTAGTTTTTTAATCATTCGTTTCGATTAATTGGTTTTGCAGACAAAAACCAGTAATGAATCCCCTCAAACAACTGAGGTTTTTTATCGTCAACCACCCGGAGCAACTTTACGAGGCGATCCGAGAAAACTCTTTAATTGTATTAAGTAAAGAAATAAAGTTTGTCCTTTGCAAAATAATCGTAAAAAATCTATTTATATATTGCAAACATTTTTACCGATTTGAAACAATAGTGTCACCTTTATCCACTCCGGATCACGAGTGTGATCAACGGTGTTCGAAAGACATGAAACACCGCCTGACCCTCATAAAAAAAAATATGACGGACTACGATTTTAACCTGTTAATTTTTATGAAAAAATATGGAGGGCCTCGATAAAGCGCTAGACAGTATGTTTTCTTTATTAAAAATTGGTGTTGAATATGCGTTAGCTGAAACCCGAAGGAAGCGAGAGGGAGATTATGAACCCATCCATTTTGGATAAAATAATCATCACTTCCAGGAAAGTAAACAACAGTTGGGGGGGGGGGTGGTGGTGGTGATATGGTTAAATGACAACACTGCAACATCGCATAGTCCTGTGTTCCCTAGGATTGTTTCATGTCCTTCCAAACCGAGGATAGAGATAGCAGCGGCCTGATCGTGCGCGAGAGAGGGAGATATGTAGTCACTGACGTTAGGCCTAACCACCCCTGTCCCTTCCTCTCGCGGCGACGGCGCAGCACAGGCGACGCAACCGCGTGGACCGCGAGCTCCACGCAATGGCCGGGACCTGCGTCGCACCTCCGGTGACTTTGTGGGAGTGAAGGCCTTTTTTTATGGACCATTATCACCGCCCGCTGCACCGAGCGTTCACGCTCCCGGAACCGCGGGGGGCTTTGAGAGCCTTTTTAGGCTTTTCCTAGCTACGGGGGCCACAAGGGTCAGCTAAGACTGACCAGTCAGAAGTAGCGTCCTTGCAACAACACCATATCAGCCGGGCAAAAGCCGCAAGAAGTCGCAACGCCATGTCGCAGTATCCCTCTCCCTGACCAAGATCAACCAATGGGGGGTTGACCGACGAAAGTGGAACGAGGTGTGATGCATAAGGGCATTATCATGCACCACTTGGCATAGCATCACCCACTACTCATCGCTCATTAGCACCGGTCTAAATATGCGCTGGACTCTACCAGCCCTCGGGCTGGACCATCGCATATTTAGGCCCGATGCAACTGATCGATGGGATCTTATCTCACCTCAGATTTCGACATCTTCACGGTTTCAACCCTTGTGTGTCCGGGCCGAGGTTGTTCGGAGTTCCGTTTGCACTAGCACTCTGTGTTTCTCATTTCATTCTTTTAGCGTTGCCGACCCTTTCCCAGGGCCCGCATCACAACTGGTGGCAGCGGCGTTTCGCTACCAACGCCCCCGATCTCTTCTCCCGTTGAGAAGAATCCCGATTCTTTCTCCCGTTGAGAAGAATCTCGAGAGTCCCGACTCTCAACGAAAAAATTCCCGAAAAGACCTGTGCGGAGGTCTACGAATTTAAAGTTCTTTTCCTCCAACGATGAGAAATTTAAGAGAGAGCTAACGGCCATTCTACAAAAAGCCTAGAATCAGCCTTACCTGACGGTTTAACAATAGATGAGATTAAAAGAAAATTGCGATCCTTTCCGCTCACAGCAGAAAGCGCTAGGACCTATTCTTATACTTGGTTCACCATAATTATCTTTCTCCTAACATTGATTTTAGGTACAGTCATAACCTACCTATACTTGCGAAATAAGAAACCTAATCAAACTTCTCGACCGAGAATAATTAGATTCTCACAAATCGGTCAACAGGAGGAGAACTTAAATTTTGAACTAGCACAGCCGGCGGAATTAATATAATCTCATCAACCGCTTAGGCTCATAAATTAACTATATTCCTCTTTGGTGAAGGCATACATACTCCCGAATAACTATTTTTCAACTATTCTGATCTTCATTTTATTAATCAAAATTATTCTAGAAAATGTTAGAATTATTATACTTGTAAATTTCAGGAAAAATCGCTTAGGCTCACGCGTTATTTTTCTAGGTGAAGGCATATCATTTTATTAATCAATTTTTTTTTCAAAAAGAAAATTTTTGAATTTTTTGTAAATTTCAGAATTGGGAAAAATTCCCTGTAAATCCTCATATGTAAAAACCAACTTAGTAAAAACTTCATTTTAGGCTTCAATTTTTACGATACATGGAACGAAGACGGCTGCGGCGAGGGCGCCGCACTTTGGGGCCTCCCAGACTTGTGATGCATAAGGGCATTATCATGCACCACTTGGCATAGCATCACCCACTACTCATCGCTCATTAGCACCGGTCTAAATATGCGCTGGACTCTACCAGCCCTCGGGCTGGACCATCGCATATTTAGGCCCGATGCAACTGATCGATGGGATCTTATCTCACCTCAGATTTCGACATCTTCACGGTTTCAACCCCTGTGTGTCCGGGCCGAGGTTGTTCGGAGATCCGTTTGCACTAGCACTCTGTGTTTCTCATTTCATTCTTTTAGCGTTGCCGTCCCTTTCCCAGGGCCCGCATCACACGAGGGATGCGAAAAGAGAGTCCGGAAGGCCGGAAATTTGTTCAATTCTTTATCAAACGAAGAATATTTGAATTATGTAAAGTTAAGACATATTGAGACTTATGACTCTTATTATAATAATTTAAAAGTATGGTTTTGTTATTTATCCTATATTAAAGTTACATTTAGTGGTAGTTTAGAATATGAATTATTTGAGTGTGTAAATACTGGTATTTTAAAAAACATTAATTACATTTTATTATCTCTATTTTGGAGAAGAATTTTTTACTTTAAAAATATGGAGGGACTAGATGAAGAACTAGACAATATGTTTTGTTTATTAAAAAATGATGTTGAGCGTGTGTTAGCTGTACGGGAAGGAAGGGCGCTCCGGTGAATATTTTTTTTGGTGAGTGGAAATAATCTTATCACTTGGAATCTACAAGGCGCACGACTTGGCTCTAGGAGACTCTCTGAAGGATGTGATCAACATGCTTGTGGATGCCCAGAGAGAAAGGCTGTACGCACAAGAAAGGATCAAGAAGAGGAGGGAGTCGCCGTGGTAAGTGAAATAGTTTGTTGAAAAGAGAGTCCGGAAGGCCCGAAGAACGGGGATGAACTTCACTCTCGCAGCGATTACAGAGCGAGATCCACATTATTTTCTCCGGCTATTATTTTTTTAGCCATTTCGAGACTTGGTTCTGTGCTTTTTTTGTCATATTCAGTTTTTGCTTTTCATTGTCCATATTTGTGCATATTTCTTGAGCCATGATTATATTGTATTTCATTTCCGTATCTCGGATTTTTCTCGTTTTCTCCATCTCAACCCCGATATGTGGTGGAGAGCTCCCCGCGTCGCCCTCTATCCCGTTAACCTTATCAGAGGGCACCAAGCACGGTTCATCTGTCTGCCGTATGGATTGCCCAAGATTCTTTCTCTCATTTACATCCCTATAACTGCGCAGACAGATCAACCCTTGGGCGTCCGTCGTCGCACTGTAAAACGCCGTTTAGCCGCTGCTTGGATCGCAGTTCAGATTTCAACCCCTCCTTAACACTCTTTCGTGATTCCACCCCTCGACGCTCGTTTCCACCTTCGTCCAGCCACGTACGGCTCGTCGCTCGTCGACTCAACCTCCGTCAAGCCACGTACGGCTCATCTTCAACCCTCGACCACTTCAAAACCTCACACGGTGAGGCTCACTCCTTGCCCGGCAGTAGCGTACAGTAAGCGATACATGTACGAATTCTTTTATGAGATTCTTTTTCAAGAATTATGGTCCCAACATTAAGCTCATTTACATAGACTTGCCTATGCTGTTCTTGTCTTTACAGAGGATATTTGTAAGGATATTTTGGATGAAAGGGAATTGTATGATACTTCCAACTTTCCAACGGACCATATCAACTTTAGTAGGGCAAACGAAAAAGTTTTAGGCAAATTCGAAGATGAATGTCCTCCTAACATGATTATATCCGAGTGGGTTTGCCTAATGAGTAAAATGTACGCTTTTCTTGCAAAAAGGAAAAAAAATATGGATAATGATGATAAGAAATAGAAATCCTATATGAAATGTAAAGGAGTACAGACGAGCGTAGTCCAAAAAACTTTCAATTTCGATTTATGAAAGTTGTATTTGAAAATCGAGAAGTCGATTGTGTAACTTGCAGGATTCAAAGTAAAAAACTTCACCAGTACTCTTTCGAAGTGAGAAAAAAGGCTCTAAGCTCCTCTGATGACAAACGATTTATGAGTAATTCTGTAGAAAGCCTCCCGCATGGCCATTAAGATTTAGTAAACTATGATAGTGACGATGAATAGAAGCATATCAGTCAATTCTACTCATAACTGCGTCATGAGTCATCCATGTAACGAAAGTGGTTTTTCTTTTCTTTCTTTCATTTACAGGAAAATAAACAAATGGCTGCTCAGTCCCCAGTTTTCAAAAATTCTCAAAGTTTTGAGAATGTAGTCTTGCCGACCCCCAAAAAACGACGCACTTCTGTACCATCGAAAAAAAACCCCGAATCATACGACTCTTTTAAGGAGGTACAACTACCGGTTCCCGAATTTCCCACTCGCGTTAGCGGTGCTGATCTGGAATCGGGAAAAAAATATCAGTTGAAAAAAATGGAGAAGAGAGAGACGAAATTCGGCATCCAATTAATGGCATGGTTTCAGAGGAAAGGGAAAGATTGCTTTATTTACCTTCCGAAAGAATATGCCAAATTGTCAGATGAATACATCGCAAAAATCAATAAAAAACCTCACGATCTCATCTGTATTGGCCCACATTTCAAATCATACAAATTCACCGTGAAACCTCGAGAATAATAGGAACGTCATAAGACCAAAGAAAAGGGAGAGAGTCTCATCATCTATCATCTCTGTTTCCGTGTTAGCATCTGCAGTCATTGATGTCCAAGGACTATTTTCGAATGAAAATGAATTTTTTTTAGAGAGGTTACGATCCTCTCCTCGGATGAGTCAGTTGAGCAAACATTTTTCTTTGAGCCACCGATGAATGAATTTCAATGTTTCAAACAGAACAGCTGGTTAACCAACCTCCATTACGGGCTTATGTGGGAAGACGGAGATATCCCATACTACAAAATTCCGAAAATTTTTCATGAAATACCGGCTCAATTTAATATTTTCTACGTTAGAGGGTTTCAGAAGAAACTCTGGCTCTTGAAATATATCAATAAAAACATTTTATATGTGGAGGATGAAGGTTGTCCATCTCTTAAAAAAATAGTGGGGGCGAAAACATGCTTGAAAAAACACGGTAATTGTACAAGGGCCAATGCATGTAAGATATTAGGTTGGATTTATTTAACCCAACCCTATTGTGTGAACACCCTCCCCTTTAAATATATTCAACGCTGTCTAATGAAACTAAAAAAAAGTCATTATATTTTTACGAATATAAAACTTTTTTTTAGATTTATCAATCAACTAGGGTCTTTTATCTTTGAAAAATACAAAATGTATGATTCAAAGAAAAGAAGATCATTGGTTAAATGAACGTTGATTGATTTGTCGTAAAAAGTATTCATTTTTATTAAATGACTAAGAAGACATTTCTATGAAACGGAAACTTTTTTCGCCCAATCGGACAACATTTAACTTAACTACTGTACTTTTCCACTGAAATTACATTTCGTATGTTCAGTGATAAAAGAAAAAAGCGGAGATGAATGAAAGGCTATGTCTTGCGCATACTGCTGCTTACTCTCTTTCAGTAGCTGCAATTTACGATCTCTTAAGCCTTCAAAACTTAAATCCAGAATTAAGAATCCATCTAATTCACTGCTTTGCACTCAATTACCTAACTAAGTATTATTATCTACATCAGCTTTGCTCATCTGACTGCAGACAGGTTTTTCATCTAAAATGTTCTGAAGTTCAGAAAAAAAAACATCTAATCGAAAATAAACATTTAATCGAAGCTATCACCGGATACTACTTGTATAAACTGAATTTTTATTCTTGAATCCTTTGTTTCCAGGAAAAATAAAAATTAAATGTCTCTTTCAAGCATCGTGAAAGACTAGCGGCATTTCCTAGCGAATAACCCTGAACAACTCGGCGAAGCAGTGCGAAGAGATTCACCGTTAAACCTTAGCAAAGAAGTTAAATTCTGTTTTTATAAGATCATTGTTAAACATTTATTTAAAGCAACCTCCCATTTTTATGGGAATGAAAAACTTGATTCCCCATTATCAGTACCAAACCACGAAATGGACCATTAATTACGATGCCGAACACCAGTTTCATCGGTCCCTTTTTACTTTCCATTTTCCCCGCGCCTTAAACGAGTTAGCCGCGTACGCGAGGCACGGACAGTTGCCCGATGGCACAAATTTTTCTACTCCGCCCGACCAACGACCGGCCCCTTCCCCCCTCGCCCCGTCCTCCCCCCGTCCCTCAGCTCGGTTATCCCAACTTTTTGCAGGGGTAGTTCCCCTTTTCACGCGGGAATTCAAACTAGACGCGGCGACGGAGTTACGCGCTTTTGAAAAAAAGCAGACGGAATTTGAGTCTAAGCGTCGCGCCGTGGAAACTTCCCATGAGGAGCAGCGTCAAAATCTCCACCGAGACGCTCGCGACGCTTTGCATAAAGCGCAAATGGCTATGGAGGAGGCTTCAAATTTCCAAGCTCTTTTTCCCGAGAAGCGGCAACACCTACCGCGTCTCAGGTTGATCAATCCCGACCCCCCCGTCCCTCATCAACCCACGAACTTTGAAATTTAGTCCGACTTCGCCGCGAAAGTTACCAAAAAATTAAGGGATACGAGCGCGGATCCCAAAATCCAATTAATCCTCGCGAGAAAAATATCAATTGTTAATTTTTGTCCTTGACCAATTCTTGGGAGTGTCGTGTCGGATGGCCACCTCCGAAACATTAAGAAATGGAATAAATACATTCTTCAATGGAGAAAACAGATTGAGTTTTAATTATAGCGAGAACTGTAAAACATTGGAAGTCGTCGGTGATTTTGGCCCCTTCACCATCAACGGTTACCGCGGCTACGTTCGTATGTTTGATCCGGGATTCCAACGTTTTCAATATCTATTAAAAAGGAGGAGACATATCGCGAAAACCATAATCCGTCCTCTATGTACCGTAGTAAGGGAACCTCAAAAAACATACATCCATCTTCGTAACACGCGCGTCGTTTAGAATTTTATATCCACGGAATTTTTATTCTTGAATCCTTTGTTTCCAGGAAAATAAAAAGTAAACGTCTCTTTCAAGCATCGTGAAAGACTTGCGGCATTTCCTAGCGAATAACCCTGAACAACTCGGCGAAGCAGTGCGAAGAGATTCACCGTTAAACCTTAGCAAAGAAGTTAGATTCTGTTTTTATAAGATCATTGTTAAACATTTATTTCTAGCAACCTCCCATTTTTATGGGAATGAAAAACTTGATTCCCCGTTATCAATACCAAACCACGAATGTAATAAAAAATGTATCAAGGATCTCAAGCGTTGCTTGAGGTTGATTAAAAATATCATGTCAGGGGAGGATTTCGATTTGTTAATCTTCATTATCGATCAATTTTTTGGTGTCTCATGTCTTCTCACCCCATCGGAGGATTTGAGGCGTGAAATTTGGAGGGGAGGACAGGAGGATCGAGGAGTTCAGAGAGAACTGCATGGCATTGGACTGAATTGGAAATTTTAACACATTCACCACTAAAGGATGCACCGGGTATATCCGTACGTTCGAGTCGAATTACTACAATTTTCAGGTCTTATTAAAAAGAAGAACACGGATAGCAAAACGCATTATTGAAGCCATGTGTAAGAAACCAGTACGAGTACCAATGGAAAAAAAGAAATGTATTCACATTCGTATTACGCTCGACGAGCTTCTCACCAACTCGTGGCGCATAGAAGAGTAAGTAATTGCACTCTTAGTGCAGCGCTGCGTGATTATGAGTAATTCTCGCACTATAATAATGTGAGAAGGCGGTAAGGCTGTCAAATGAAGAAAAAGTGATTTTTTTACTCTTAAAGGTACGCGATCTTAAATCTTGGTTTCCATAGAGTAAAAAACACGCAAACATACAGGAATAATGGGAGTATATAAGAAAATTCACCCAAGAAAAGCCCTCAGTTTTTTCTTTTTTATTAAAAAATGTCGTCAGAGAGATTCCCCCGTTTATTCCATTTATTTAGTTCTATGTCCATTGAAGAATATTTAAATCATGTTACCTTAAGACATATTGACATTTACGATTCATATTATAACAATTTAGAGTCCTGGTTTTGTTATTTATCTTATATTAAAGTTACTTTTAGTGGTAGGTTAGAGTATGAACTATTTGAATGTGTTAGTAGTAAATTTTTAAGAGACATTAATTTCATTTTGTTATCGCTATTTTGGAGGAGACTTTTTATTTTTAAAAATATGGATGGACTAGGTGAAGAGTTGGACACCATGTTTTCATAGTTAAAAATTGACGTTGAAAGTGCATTAGATATACGTGAAGGAAGGGCGCTCCGATGAATGTTTTTTTTTGGTGAGTGGAAATAATCTAATCACTTGGAATCTATAGTTTGTTGGAAAATGAGAGCCAGTCACTGCACGTCTGCATTTGTTTAAATTTCACTAATCTCACGCTTTTGTGTTTTCATTTTAAGCTTAATATCTTTCTCCTTTTCTTTTTGAATAATATGTTTACAAGGATATTTTTCCTTGTAAAATTGTTTCATCATATTCTTAATTCTTAGGTAGTCTTTAACATTAGATGGCTTACCTTTTAATTCAGTTTTTTTACGTTGGAAGTCGAATCATCAGAAATGAGATTTAACTTACCTGTTTTTCCTCAGAAGAAAATTCCTCAGTTCTACGGCTTTACGGAAAAAATGCCGCATAGACTGCGGCATTTGCGCGATTTTTACTTAACAGTAACAAGTGAAGAGTACAAAAATAATATAGAATTAAAAAAAGTAGATGTTAGTTCAAGTGTGTTTGTTAGTAATGTGAAAGCGGGTTTTTGTTATATAACTTTTTGTTTTTTAAAATTTGAAAATTTAGATTTTTTTGAAGAACTGTGTGAATGCTTAGATTATGAATATTTATTAGTTATAAACAGATGGTTAATTACGCCATATTGGCAGTCAGAAGTAGAATTCAAAAATATGAACAGATTTTATAAAGAACTAGATATTATGCTATCAATGTTAAAACATTATGTTGAAAACGTGATCATAAAAATGCGGAAAGAGCGATGAGAGCGGCGGAAGCGACGGTAAATGTTTTTGGTAAGTAGCGCATGTTTTTTTTTTTTAAAACCGGGTTCCAATCTAATCACTTGGAATCAATACTTTCTTGAAAAGAAATGAGAACCAGTCACTGCATGTCTGCATTTGTTTGAATTTCACTATTAAATACTATATGCCCATCCAATGTGTCGTCCTCTATCCTACAACAATTATTAATTCCTACCACACATTCCTACCTTGCCAACAAAGGCCTACCTAAGGCCATTTCAAACAATCCTGAGCAACTTTTCGAGGCAGTTCGAGCTAACTCACCGATTATATTAAGTGAAGAGATAAAATTTTGTCTATACAAAATAATAGCCAAAAATTTACTTTTGTACTGCCGTCATTATTACGCGTTTGATACACTACGAAGAGAGTCAACACCAGATTTAGGCCGTTGATAGTGGCTCACATCAACTACAAAAATGAGACTCGAAAGCTTTTCCTACCGAAGTATTTAGCAGAAAAAATTACGGATGAAGATCTAAAAATTATATACGAAAAAACCCTCAACATCAAATACAACGCAGCATTCAGAGCCACCCAAAATTTCGACCTAATCGATAGGAAGTAAAATGTTCTTCCAACATGCTCTCGCATCAATGCAATGACTTTGGTACGTATGACCTAGAGGAAAAAATTCATTTCTTCCGGAATATTTTCCCGCCTGATAGTTTTAAACTATTCTGTTTCGTATTCGATCAATTCATTTGGTGTATGCAACCATTACGGGATAATGATAATTCTATTAAAATTCCTTCAGCATCAATTCTGTACCCTCTGCTTATGGATTGTTTTGAGGTGCCAGACAGTTGTATTTTTATTTACCGACACGCTTATCAAAATTGTACCTATTATAATAAATATAAAACCGTGTTTGACGCCCTTGGAGGGTTCAAAGATTTTTGCCAAGCTATTTCTCAAAAAGATACGAGTCGGGCTTTATCGAATTTGAGGGATACTTTAGAGTTGATTATGAAACCATCCATTTTGGATAAAATAATCATCACTTCCAGGAAATTAAACAAAACGTATCCACTTAAACGTTGAAAAATGGGGAATTTTTAGGTGTGACACTGTAAGCTTCGGAAGTATGAGCGGTTCGATTTATTTATTTATTTAATATTTAATATTTTATTTATTGTTACGGGTTGGTTTATTGTTAAAGGACCCGAGCTTGCCGAAACCAATCAAGCTCCCCCTAGACAATTAATCGAGACGCTCAGTTGACTATTTCATGTAGCTCTTTTTCCCGAGAAGCGGCAACACCTACCGCGTCTCAGGTTGATCAATCCCGATCCCCCCGTCCCCCATCAACCCACGAACTTTGAAATTTTGTCCGACTTCGCCGCGAAAGTTACCAAAAAATTAAGGGATACGCGCGCGGATCCCAAAATCCAATTATCCCTCGCGAGAAAAATATCTGCCGAAATATTTGACGAAGATGATGATTTGTCCATGAAAATGCAGTTTAAAAAATGCATCCCCACCAGTCTATCTTCTCATCTTGTCCCCGCCACACATACTCTAAAAATAAATTATGTTCCTTTTCTGCGCTGTGGTGTTCGTGGTGTTGAGTGCCGTTTTCGGTCAACGTCTTCGCCACCACCGCCGCCCGCGTCAAAACTCGCGAAATGTCAACCGCGCCACACTTCAGCGACGTCGTCGGAAAAATCTCGGAGCGCGACCCGTCCAGCCCGTGAAATGGACCATTAATTACGATGCCGAACACCAGTTCCATCGGTCCCTTTTTACTTTCCATTTTCCCCGCGCCTTAAACGAGTTAGCCGCGTACGCGAGGCACTTACAGTTGCCCGATGGCACAAATTTTTCTACTCCGCCCGACCAACGACCGGCCCCTTCCCCCCTCACCCGTCCTCCCGCCGTCCCTCAGCTCGGTTATCCCAACTTTTTGCAGAGGTAGTTCCCCTTTTCACGCGGGAATTCAAACTAGACGCGGCGACGGAGTTACGCGCTTTTGAAAAAAAGCAGACGGAATTTGAGTCTAAGCGTCGCGCCGTGGAAACTTCCCATGAGGAGCAGCGTCAAAATCTCCACCGAGACGCTCACGACGCTTTGCACAAAGCGCAAATGGCTATGGAGGAGGCTTCAAATTTCCAAGCTCTTTTTCCCGAGAAGCGGCAACACCTACCGCGTCTCAGGTTGATCAATTCCGATCCCCCCGTCCCCCATCAACCCACGAACTTTGAAATTTTTAAGGAATTAAAGGAAGATCTCGAAATTATATACGAAAAAACCCTAAACATGAAGTACAATGGATCATTCAGAGCCACCCAAAATTTCGAACTAATCGATAGGAAGTAAAATTTTCTTCCAACATGCTCTCGCATCAATGCGATGACTTTTGCACGTATGACTTGGAGGGAAAAATTCATTTCTTCCGGAATATTTTCCCGCCGGATAGTTTTAAACTATTCTGTTTCGTATTCGATCAATTTATTTGGTGTACGCAACCATTACGGGATAATGATAATTCTATTAAAATTCTTTCAGCATCAATTCTGTACCCTTTGCTTATGGATTGTTTTGAGGTGCCAGACAGTTGTATTTTTATTTACCGACACGCTTATCAAAATTGTACCTATTATAATAAATACAAAACCGTGTTTGACGCCATTGGAGGGTTCAAAGATTTTTGCCAAGATATTTCTCAAAAAGATACGAGTCGGGCTTTATCGAATTTGAGGGATACTTTAGAGTTGATTATGAACCCATCCATTTTGGATAAAATAATCATCACTTCCAGGAAATTAAACAAAACGCATCCACTTAAGCGTTGGAAAATGGGGACTTTTTAGATGTGATAGTGTAAGATTCGGAAGTGTGTCCAGTTCGATTTATTGTTTAAGGGGTTGGTTTATTAGTAAAGGACCCGAGCTTGCCGGAACCAATCAAGCTCCCCCTCTAGACAATTAATCGAGTCGGGCTCAGTTAACAATTTCATGCAAATTAGTTTTTTAATCATTCGTTTCGATTAATTGGTTTTGCAGACAAAAACCAGTAATGAATCCCCTCAAACAACTGAGGTTTTTTATCGTCAACCACCCGGAGCAACTTTACGAGGCGATCCGAGAAAACTCTTTAATTGTATTAAGTAAAGAAATAAAGTTTGTCCTTTGCAAAATAATCGTAAAAAATCTATTAGTATATTGCAAACATTTTTACCGATTAGAAACAATAGTGTCACCTTTATCCACTCCGGATCACGAGTGTGATCGACGGTGTTCGAAAGACATGAAACACCGCCTGACCCTCATAAAAAAAAATATGACAGACTACGATTTTGCTAGTTTGCAGTTTAGCTAAGATCTACCCTTGAAAATTAAAACCTCCTTATCCTAAATATGCATTAAAATTCGTCGATAAATTAGCGACCAAAAAAAAATCGAAAGCTTTACAACTCAAGTAGGAAGATGGTTTGTCTCCATACAAAACCATTCCTTTATATTCGAGCAACTGGGTTCCGAATTTATGGAATGGATAGTGCTCGATCAAAAGACTCTTGATAGGATTAAGCCCTACAAATCTTTATACGTAAATCTTAATGTTTTTGAAACTCAGGAGGCTGGAACCGGTATGAAGAGAAAGAGAATATCTCCAATGACATGTATTTACAACCATCAAAATCGTTCTCTGGGGTCCGTGACTATTTTATACAAAGATCATAAGCGGGCTTGCAGACTGTACTGAGACCTCTAGGTCTTCAGTGAAGCAGCTCCCTGCAAAGTAAGCCACTGCGCTTTTTTCCGATCCCTGAAATTTTTATTTCTTTGCTATCATTGGGATGTTTTACAGGTAGATTTAATTCTTTTCGTGTGCTCATCGGAGAGTTTAGATTTCTCTCTTGATTTTTTTTTTTTTTAATTCGATACATTATTTTTTCTGGTTTCGTTGCTATCTCACCATTTTTTTTTCTTTTCTTTTTTTTACATAAAATTTAAAGATGTTGAAAGATCCATCAAACAGGAGCAGGTCAAACAATTTTATGCAGCATAGTTAAAGCTAAATGGTATGAGAGAAACGCAGATATTCACGCTGACCTCAGCATTGACTCAGTAGAGAATTACATCACCAAGATGTACTCTGCATATGAGATGAGGCTACATTGTCATCCCAACCAAGAAGCTTGCGCGCTACTGGAATGGGATCAATGCAGTATTTCAGATTGATTGGCTACTAGTATAAATGAGATTGACACTCCATGTATGTGTAACATCTTGGTGCTCCGTCTCCATGAAGAGCGCGGGTCAAGTTTCACTTTCGGAAGTCGATTGAAAACGTACAAGTACCGAAAATATCTGATAATCTCAGAGTGTGTTTATAAGCCCCGAAAGATTCTGCCCATCATTTTTTGAGTCGCTGTGCAGCCCTTTCGGATCCAGATCCATTTGTCGAGGACCACCAACACGGTATTTTCCTCTACTGCACCCTGAGAGAGCAAATTTTTACTCTTACACCAGATGATTAACCCTCTAACCACTTAATTATAAAGTGTATACCTTCCTTCCTGCTGGATACATGTGTAAATTCAACTTCCACCCTTTAATGATACTAAAGTGTGTATTGTTGCAGTCATCATTCACTTAAGAGATGTCGTCTTCTCTGATAGAACGTAGTGCTTCAGCAAATGATCTTATAGTCAAAATCCACAACAAAATATCTTTAAAGAGATGAACAATGAATAAAAAGATTAAAATCAATGATTCTTCCCTATTTTCTGCATTACTCAATAGTCGAGATGTTACATGAGAAATTTAATTAGAGACAGTTTAAAATATTGAAAGTAATGCGCAAGATATAGCAATAGTGAAAGGCACAAAATCCCTTAATATTTTCAAAGAGGGGGAAAAAGTCATCCACATTGATTGAATGCCTACCGAACACACATCCTCAATGTAGAAACAACATGATGCAAAATTGATTGATTTCTTTTAATACACTGCACCGTATTCTTAACTCAGCTGCCATCAAATAATATTCAAAAGCAAATATCTCAAATAGAAAAGCACAAACCAGTCAGAGGAGTTCAATATTTGCGATGCAAGATTCTGACAGGAATTTTCACTTACTAGAATTAATACGATACACTCTTGTGATACTATTTTGACTTCAACAAAAGGGGCACTTACGGGAGGGGGAGGTGGCCTGAGCTTGGCTAACAGGGTCTTAGAAGGGGGAGGGGGGGGGTCAAGCCCAATCTTGAGCAAGTCTCTTTCAAGCACAGAGTCAAGGAGTTCTAAATAGCAATATAATCTCAAAATGGAATGCAGACAGTTAGTTCATAGGGACTCAAAAGACCTGCAAAGACTTTCACACAGACTTTTGCAACTTTAGAGAGATGTGAAAAAGAAAGACTCAATTACATAATCGAGGTTTGAATGTTCATGCCAGTTCTTACATCATCATTCACGCTCTTCCTTTTATATTAAATTAATAATCAGTCTTCTTTGAGACCTGAGAGGTTTTTGAGATTCGGAGTGTTGTATTCTCTACACTGCACACTCAGGTGTAAAGTTTGGACAGAAAAATATCACAGACTAGTTTCATTAATACAAGGGTGCACTACATCAAAGAAGAAGCACACTAATTACACAGTTTATGAAAAATAAAAGTAAAATATAGCAAAAGCACTTGATGACTCCTCAGAGATACTTGCTGCTGAACAAGCTTTAGGAAAATTCCTGTTGGAGGAATGATGAAATCACAGGAAAAAATGAGACCTTTGGTCACTTACTATTCAATAAATGATTAGCTGGAACCAGTATTTTTGTAGATAAATTACCTGCATTTTACTTGAAGCCCCCAAGGCTTTTCAAAATTTAAGCACATAAACTATCTTAAATTGATCTTCACATGAAATGATCTTTAATTTATTTTTTGTTCCGTTCCCAAAAATTGGTTCTTATCTTTGCAGTTAAACAGTTTGACTACGATTTTAACAAGCTTCATATGAGTGTTCTGCCTTTCCCATGCACTACGCGCCAAATGTACCTAAAAATCCAGCTTTGGCTTCTAAAAGTTGTGGAGCTGAGCCATCACAGCCCTTAGAAAAGATTAAGCTCTCCGCTGATTTCTGCAATCTCACCATCATGAAGCAGCAGTAGCTTATGACGCACATGCCAATATGGCAAAAGTTAATTGGGCTCTTAAAAAATTTAAAAATTGAAATTTCTTTCTGGCCAAGGTAGTTCCTAAAATTTAAGGGGAAGGCAGAACCCTGCTTCAAATGAAAACTATGAAAGCGCTTTGTCACTTGACATGAAATTTTTAAATTCTTATATTACGTTTAATGCTAACATCGGATCACCAAACCTGCCATCAATGGTGGGAATTAGTTAACCAGAAACGATTTGAGGGGCGCACGTGAAGGTTAGACTAGAAAAATAATAAAAAATATTCAGACTGGACCAAAAATCAGTACCTTGTAGGAGAATGACACAGAGGACAGTTGCTGACAGCTAGAATGTGTTTTGGATGAGCACTATGTCTGCAAAGTTTGCATCCCCATGCTAACGTGATGTTTTCCAGACGACGCCCTGTTAAGATGCATGGAATATACCGCTCATGACAGTTTTCACAAATGTTTGACCTAGAATGAGAAATACCGATCTTATTCAAAAGATATCTCAAATACACAGACTACTTTCATTACCTATAATGATTTCCATGAGTCAAACATGGTCACCACAGAAACTTTCCTTTGAAACGATGGACCAAAACATTGTTTTGAAATGTATTGGACAAAGCATTTTAAGACACTACTCTGGGCTTAATCAGCTATACTTGTTTCCATCAAGAAAAACTAAACTCATGTGTTGTTATTATTATGACGTTGCTTAGCTACAGAGAGAAAAAAAGAAGATGGTGGCAATTTCTGATATGTTCACATCATGATGGTGGGTAAAAGGCATCAATATCCAAAATTTATAGATGGTAAAACGGACCGTGCATAAGGTATGTATGTTGCGTTGGGAGAATTCTTAAACATACAAAATATTTTAAACACTTTTAGAAGCATAATTGTTTTCTTAAACTGCATCATTTTCGGGAAAATCAATAAAAAAAAAGTTTGAGCCTTTTTTCATCATCAACATCCTTCTAAGATGTCACAAAATGTCATCACTTTCCTTTATCTTTTCACCACAATGTAATTGGCTTTCAGCAACTAGCAAAAAAGAGAAATTCAAAATTTTCTCTCTTTGAGTTGGAGTTGTACATGTGATTAACAGTCCAAAATCATCTGAACTTGGAACTATTGCACATGCAAGAGACAATTTTCTGCAAAACCCCAAGGTGAACCTTATTGGTTTGGAGTCACCATTTTTTAGTAAAAGAAAATTCAACGAATTTAAAAGGCTCGATGAATGAGTAAATTAACTAAAAACAAAAAAGATGAGGAAAAATTTAATCTTACCAGATAGAGACATCAGTAGAGCAGCTATTGCATTTGAACTTAACAGGTAATGAATCTTTGAGTGGATACTTTGTGAAAATCTCAAAAGCAATTTTCTCATACTCCGCATTCAAAGACTCAAGCTTGATGAAAGCTCTTGAGGCTATTGAGAAACACTTAGCCGACAAGCTGCACAAAGCAATGAGAGAGTATATCTGTTCTGCAGGGAAAAGATCATCATAGTTTTTGAGATTGAGGGCCGTAAACATCGCAGATTCGAAATCGTTCTCAAAGAGCTGCCGCTGGGCCAGCATGAAAAAATGATAGGCTTCTGCACCATGCCAGGCATCATCCACCATCTTGAAATGAAGACTCATTTCGGAGTCATTAATTAAGTGCTTTTTGTAGCTGCCCACAGAGCCTTTGCTATGTTCTTCGACAAGAATTGCGGCTAAAACGTATAATTTCTTCTGCAAAATTGGTTTGACTAAGCCTGACTGATTGTCCTCTGCAATTTGAAATAACAATTTAGCAGCGTCAAGAAGTCTTCCTGCTTTTCTGTATAATTGTATGACTTCTAAAGATGACCCCTGAGTGATGAGTTCAGAAGCATAATCTTCTAAGAGTCCTGTAATTTTCGGTAAAATGCCATGATGGGAGGCCAGGTCAATCCCTTCTTTCCAATGGTTCAATGAAACACAAGCTTCAACTGCTGCATTCACAGCACCAGCTTTGAGATAAGCTTTGACTGCTTGATCGCACATTCCGAATGTTAAAAAGACTTCTCCGATTCTGGTTAGTAGAGGATCACTCTCATCTAGATTTTTAATGAATGCCTCAAGAGCACCAAAGTCTTCTAGCAACTGATAACAGACAACTAACTTTTCGGTGTTGTTAGCCTTTTCATAAAATTCCTTGGCCGACTCCCACTCATTTTTGTCAGCAAAACTATCACCAATTGCGTTATAGATTCGAAGATATTGGGAGTCTGAACAACCTGAACCCATTTTCATCAATTTTAGAACGCGAAACCAATCACCCAGCTTTTCCCGTAGATTCATCGCAGTTTCTCTTCGATCAGCATCTAAGAATAACTGCTCAGCTTCATTAAAATTGTTGAAGTGAGCCGCAACAATAGCATGTTTCACTTCATCTTTGTGAATGTTGGAAAGTTGCTTGACAAGCTGAATGCCAGCATAGTCCTTACATTTTACATACGATGTTTCAGCTGTTACCAGGTCTAGTTTTTTAATTGCTGCTTCTGCCAAGAGGCGCCTGTGAAAAGAAGAAAAAACTTATCAGCACATGCACTAGATATGAAGGGAAACAAAGATACATAATGTGATTGTAAAAGAGTAATCGATGGATCTCTACTTTCATATACATCATGAGAAAAAGTTTCGTAGCCCGATTTTTATGAACAGGCAACACAAGATACAGGATCAAGGCTAAAACAAGCTTTAATATATACATACACATATATTGCTCTCTCTCAATTTTTCTTTTTTATCGGTTTTGTTTGGCCTCTTTCAGTTCTGAGTGGAAGCAATGACCTTTTACAGAGAAAGTTTAGACAGGAGGGATGAAGACGTTTTTAAAGTTCTCGATAATAATTTCAATTGTTTTGTTAGGTTCTAAAAAATTTTGAGTACCGGCCTGTGAAACTGAGAACTGATCTGAAATATTTAGTTTGAGTGTGGTTCATCGTAATTTTTGTCATCAATCTATTTTTTGTCGTTATTTCAGGCTCAGCAAAAGTTTTTGCAAACAACTGTCTTTTTTGATCCGTCCTTTTTTTGGTTAAATGTTTTAGCTAGATTGAATATTAGCTCTTTGTAATTCCTCAATCTTACTTTGTTCTGTCACTTTAGTTACTTTTTACGTGATTTTTTACGTTTATGTGTCTAAATAACTAAACGAGTTCCTCTCCTTTAGACTGTAATGCTGTTGTTCTAGATAATCTTACATACATATTATTGTAATTTACAACTATATTCATAATAGGATTTCCCATACCATATAGAAAAAATACACAATAAATACATCCCAGATAAAGTTAGGAAAGGGGTTGGGGATATTAAAAGCCAGTGACCAGTTCACGCCTTGACTTCACGAGATGCATCTTTTCTTTCTTTTTTTCAATAAGCAAAAACAATTGTTTGTGAAAACACATGAAAGTTTCAGGAAAGAAGACGTCCAAAGAAGACGAATAGTAACGAATGTTTAGAAAATAGGTTACCAAAGTCTAGGATGCGGATTTTCTTCAATAAAAACTGACGCCTCTTTGATTCCAACTTTCTCTAGTAACTCTCTCGTGTCTCTGAGACACTTAACTTCTAGAGTTGCTAAGTGTGCTGGGCTTGGGCTGTTCGGCGATTGCAGCAGATCGTCTAGGTGGACTGCTTTTATCTCAAGATCCTAATCAAAGAGAGAAAACAAGAAAAAAAAGAATGAGTTTCATGGAGGATGAAAGTGAGAAATATTGTTAGGTACTGGCATGAAACAGAGTGATTTGCTTCAGAACAAAAATACTGAGATGAAACTGGATAAAATATGTAATTTTCTTTAGAGGAAAGCTGGATCTGAGCCTGCATGACAGGGGGAAGGGGGCAATCAGCGCTGCATTACGTACTGCTTGAATGGACATGTAACATCGATACTTCAAAATTCCAAGATGAAAAATCAACGCGAAGTGGCATTTTAGCATTATGAACTTTGGATAACAAGGCCTCTTTTTTTTGGAAATTCTATTTCTACTGCCATTTCTTCTATTTTGTTAATACAGGGTGAGCGAAAAGTCCCCGACCCCCCCTCTAACTTTTGAACGAATTGAGCTAAGGAAATGAAACTTTGGGAATGTTCCTATCTCAAAGAGGACCATCTTTTGAGGGGGTCAAAATTTTGGTCCCCCCCTCAGGGGAGGACAGGGGCCCCCCAACTTTTTTTTTTCAAATAGGAACCCCTATCTTGTGATACCTCATTCGAAAGAGCATAAAAAACTAAGAATTTTGGCGCAAACCGCAGATCAATATCTCAATTTTTGACCGAGTTATGATAGGTCAAAGGTCAAATTTGACCTATTTTCAAAAAATCATAACTCCGGTTCAAATTATCGTAAAGAAAAAAATAAAACGGGAAAATTTACCAAATTGTGTTCGCTTTTACGTAAAAATTGCAGAAATCACTTCGATTTAATTTTAAGGGGGGGCTCGGACCCCCAAATACGTCAATTCAAAGGTCATTCAATTTTCCTGCGAAATAAGCCAATTTCCTCTGGATTTGCCTCCACATTATCTCAGTAAGGTCAAAATCAGTTCAACATTACGTTGGCAAGTCCCCAAATTTCGGGAAAAGTTAAAAAAACAAAATTTAAGGTGATTAAATTTGACCGTTTAAATTTCGTTTTTTTAACTTTTCCCGAAATTTGGGGACTTGCCAACGTAATGTTGAACTGATTTTGACCTTACTGAGATAATGTGGAGGCAAATCCAGAGGAAATTGGCTTATTTCGCAGGAAAATTGAATGACCTTTGAATTGACGTATTTGGGGGTCCGAGCCCCCCCTTAAAATTAAATCGAAGTGATTTCTGCAATTTTTACGTAAAAGCGAACACAATTTGGTAAATTTTCCCGTTTTATTTTTTTCTTTACGATAATTTGAACCGGAGTTATGATTTTTTGAAAATAGGTCAAATTTGACCTTTGACCTATCATAACTCGGTCAAAAATTGAGATATTGATCTGCGGTTTGCGCCAAAATTCTTAGTTTTTTATGCTCTTTCGAATGAGGTATCACAAGATAGGGGTTCCTATTTGAAAAAAAAAAGTTGGGGGGACCAAAATTTTGACCCCCTCAAAAGATGGTCCCCTTTGAGATAGGAACATTCCCATAGTTTCATTTCCTTAGCTCAATTCGTTCAAAAGTTAGAGGGGGGGTCGGGGACTTTTCGCTCACCCTGTATTATACCTTGAAAAATCCTAAATAAATCTCTTCAGCCCTAATTTTTTTAAAACTGAAAGGACAAAAGTTTAATTTTTAAAACTTGATGAAATCAGATTTGCAGGAGTACATATTGCAACTTGCCTACAAAATTAAATTACCACTGATTCTTGATACTTCTCAAGAAATCTCTTTGTCTGGCAGGCTTCTTGCCAGGTTTCAGAGTGGGAATGAAAATCTGACTTCATCATTTACCCATCAAAACTAGCTGGAAAAATCAAGATGGCAGATTTTCTGTCTCTATCTGAGGGTTTACTGACTTTGGAGAGAACTTCACAGGTACGGTGGAGACGTGAATCATTCTCAAATGTTTATTGACAGGCTTTCTGTTAGACCAATGACTGTACGCTTAGAGCCAAGATGGATTTAGCGACAGATCTGCTCTACGTCATGCTTTCATTACATTGTTGGTAGCTGTAAGAATGCTATTAGAAGCCATAGAGCTAAAATTTTAAGAGCATGAGGAAATGAGGTGAGTCACATTGAGCAATAGCCAAATAGTTAAATTTTCCTTGCTTAGGATATGAAGGTCTAAAGCTTTGTGATTGTTTCAACACACAGTTGAAAGGAGAATATGCAGTTGAGACTTTTTTTGAGATTTGTTTTCAATGTCTCCCAGATATTTCAGAACATGCACAGTTTGCAAAAACAGACACCTGATGTGATTTACCTCCTCTTTACCATGTGTTCTTCAAAGATGTTGTATGCAACTACGTACCCTAAAAGATGCTATGTAAGCAGAGGTGAGAATTGGCTCCTCTGGATCATTCCCACGTATGATGTACATGCGCGTCTTTTCCATGATGGCAAGGAGCTGGGGATTATCTGATGCCCAACACACTGCCCACACATCTCGCCTTTCTATGCCTTTGACAATTTCTCCGCCAGCGTTTTTCTCAGCTCCTATGACTGTCAGGACACCAGTGACGTCTACTACAGCCACTCGTGTAGAATCACAATTTAAGTAAAGTGACTGCGGCCTGGATGATAGGGTAGATTTGTAGATTAGAATGACTTGTGGCAAAGAATAGAACTGCAGAATTCCGCTTTCTCGACCGATGACTAGATACTTGTTGCTGCAGGTAATGCAAGTGATGGGATCAGAGGTTGTCTTGGTATTGGTGTAATCTTGCTGCGAGGTGTTCTGGTCTAAATCATGGATGACTTCAGCAACACCTGAAGGTGTGTCATCAACATGGTATACTCTCTCTTTCCGAGATTTTGGACCCATAAAACGACCAAGACTGGACTGTGAACTGGGAGTAATGTAGTGCCACAATAAAAAATGGGTTCTAGAAGCTGCAAACACATGCATGCTATTCATTGTAACACAAAGGGGCTCCAATTCGATGTGTTTTGAGTCGATGGTGGTGGTGATTGTGTTGCAAACTGAGAGCAAATAACTGTTTTCGGATTCATTCGTTTTAGACGCAACAGTGCAATGATCTTGCCACGAGCATAGGGCTAGAAGCTTTGGAACTTGCATGCAGTAAGTTTCATTATTTCTCGTGTCCCAGAAAGTCAGCGTTACTCCCAATTTTTCAGGAGAAGTGTACGCAAAAACTAGAGTATTACTGAAGTAGGTCCAACTATAGTCAGGCCGGATATTGGCAAAATAGATTGCTGAATCGATGGCCATGGCAATTCTTAAAGATCTGCCTTCCCAGACACAAGATGAAATTTCCTTTCCGGGCAACTTTAGGCTTCTTAAGTGTTCACCAAAAGGGCTAAAAAACTGAACTAAATTTGATTCTTTTACTTCGTCTGCCAAAACCGTCGATCCAGTGATGGCTAGGATTGTTCCGTTATGATTCCAAGAGCAGAAAACAATCCGCATTCCTGTCTCGACAACTATCGGGTTACAATCAAACTGATCTCTCATCAAAACAATTTGACCTGAGGCATAGCACACAGCAAGGCTCGGGGCTCCGGGAATACAGCCATTCCTTCCATTGTACCAATCTAACCCTGTTACTGATGAAGAGAGTGTTGTGATAGAAGGAATGTTAGAGCCGACCTTTATTGAGAAAACGCCCTGATTGTCATACAGGTGAAGTTCGCCATTCCTAAGACCAAAGAGAAGATATTTAGAGTCAGGAGACCATTGCACTGAGACTAGGACAGATTTCTTCAATTCTTTGCCCCAAATTCTGTTTCCGTCCACAGAGCCAACAATAACTGCACCATCTTCATACACGATGCATATACGCTGACCATCAGTATTCCAAGCCATTCCTTTGACAACAGATTTATTCCGATTGTTAATCATCTCTTCGTACCATGAGCCCTAAATAAAAACAAAAAATTCAGTTGGAATACAATTCTAGATCTCAAACTTAAATTAAATTCCCTCACACTATCTGGCTGAATTAACAATGAATGGATAAACCATACATTTGTGGACAGTATACTTGTTGACAAATCAATGCATCCTAAGGTTTGGCATAAATATTTTTGATACATGCGATCATTATCTACAATCTGCCTGATACCCTTTCTTGTTAAAATCCACGAGACAAGATTGCCACAGAATTAAGAAAACGAAATTCCCTGATATTTTTCTGATATATTTTGGTAATATTCCTTGACAATTGGAGACATGCCGGATGGTTAAAAATATATAAGTTGAAATAGTTTTCAGGCAAAATTTGTCTTTTGAAACATCAAATCCTTTCTGGATACCAAATAAAGATGACTTAATAATTTTTCCCTGGTACTTCCGTCACTTTCCCTGACATTTCCCAATATTCTCTGACTGTAGCAACCCTGAAGCAAGAAGTGTAGCCAGCTCTATGTCTTACCATATCACAATGATTCATTCTGATACAATAAATGAATTTTAAAAGTTATGTAAGACCTAAAGTGCTAAGTTGAGAAGTTTTGCTTGCTTAGCGATAAGCTGTCTTTTGAGGGGCAAGTCTTGAAATTAAAATTAAAAAATAACTGAAATATTTTCCGGATTATATGAAACAAACAAGTTTAAATTTACAATAACAGATTTTAAAGTTCTCAAAATAAAATTGAGAAAAATACCTACCTTATACATCATCCAAACTATTATGAGACCGTTTTCATCGCTTGTTGTCAATTTTTGATGCTGCTCGTTCCAAGTTATAACTTGAACTCTTCCGTTGTGACCTTCAAGCGTTTGATTCATCGATAAGTTTGCCGCTGAAGCGAGTCCTTTAGATTTTCCTTCATTTCCTGTACAGAGAATCATGTATGTGATCTTACTGAAATGGACCCCAACCAAGGGTGACAAGACTAACAAAATGGGACGGACAGGTTACAACCTCTTTCTCAAGGCTCAAGAAATGCTTGTAGTACAAAATGAATAGGATGCTCTAAGCGGTGAGTTGAAGCAAGGGAGGCACACAACTTTAAAGACGGATTGAAATGATTTTATACAGGGTTTCAGCTAGGATTCCATGTTGGCCTTTCCTGATATTTTAAATGAAAGAGCCGTATGCAAAAACGACATTTTTCGCCCCCCCACTAAAACTTATTCAAACTTCGTTTATCAGTTACTAATACTGGAGCGCTTCTTTCCTCAAATTTTCAGACCCCCAAAAAATTTTGGGGGGGCGCTAGGGGGGGTGGAAGTCAAAACCTGTGACCCTCGATATCTTTCGAACGAAACAAGATATTGAGGCCCGGTTTGGATGAAAAATCGTCTAAAATTGCATACTTTAAGATTCTAAAGGTCAAAATCCCAAAATTAAATTTTTAACTTAACTTATGTGCTTTTTTTCAGTTTTTGAGGAAAAACAATTTCTTTTAAACAGATTAAACTGAAATTTCACATTTTTTGATTTGAACCAAAACCAGTTTTTTAAATTGTTCGTCTTTTTCCGCATCCAACGAGTGGTCGTATAAGCTGGGGAACCGAACGGTTCCGGAGTTATGATCGATTGAAGTTTCCGCTCAACGCGCGCCGACCGATTTTCGCGCGCAAAAAAGTCGGATTTGACTGTTATTAAATTAGATTTTATGTTCAAACTGAGCAAAATGCATTATTAGGGACCTTTGAGGGTCGCTGAGTCCAGAAATTACAAATACTTCCAAAAAATTCACGTTTTTAAAATTACAGCTCCGTAGCGCTATTTTAGAGGCCCACTGAGCGCCGACCGGCCGCTCAGTGGTCCTGTACGGAGCTGTAATTTTAAAAACGTGAATTTTTTGGAAGTATCTGTAATTTCTGGACTCAGCGACCCTCAAGGGTCCCTAGTAATGCATTTTGCTCAGTTTGAACATAAAATCTAATTTAATAACAGTCAAATCCGACTTTTTTGCGCGCGAAAATCGGTCGGCGCGCGTTGAGCGGAAACTTCAATCGATCATAACTCCGGAACCGTTCGGTTCCCCAGCTTATACGACCACTCGTTGGATGCGGAAAAAGACAAACAATTTAAAAAACTGGTTTTGGTTCAAATCAAAAAATGTGAAATTTCAGTTTAATCTGTTTAAAAGAAATTGTTTTTCCTCAAAAACTGAAAAAAAAGCACATAAGTTAAGTTAAAAATTTAATTTTGGGATTTTGACCTTTAGAATCTTAAAGTATGCAATTTTAGACGATTTTTCATCCAAACCGGGCCTCAATATCTTGTTTCGTTCGAAAGATATCGAGGGTCACAGGTTTTGACTTCCACCCCCCCTAGCGCCCCCCCAAAATTTTTTGGGGGTCTGAAAATTTGAGGAAAGAAGCGCTCCAGTATTATTAACTGATAAACGAAGTTTGAATAAGTTTTAGTGGGGGGGCGAAAAATGTCGTTTTTGCATACGGCTCTTTCTTGTTTGTGGGCGCAAATAAATTGACACTGTTTCGGTTTTACAAGCCAACATATTTAAAAAATTTAGTCAAATGTTTGAAAAATGCTTGCAGCACTCTAAATTTCTTGATACCCAAGACCAATTTGCTTTGTCTTTTCCTAAAAATATTGAATATCCTGATATTTTGCGGTTTCCATGACGGTAGATACCCTGTTATTGTTTCAAGTAAAAATATTGAATGAGCTGGTTCAAAATATTTTTTAGAATTTTCTTCCGATATCGGATCACAGAAAATAAATGGTTAGAAGTTGAAAAATGGATCGCCTTCTGATATGCCGAGACAGCATTTCCCGTTTAAGCCTATGTATTTTAATACATGCAGGTATTTTGTCCTAGCTCTTAAGGTAGGTACTTCTCTGCTTTAAAAACCAAGGATATTTTCGTTCTCAGCTCACCGGGTAGTTAAAATATTTAAATTTTTTTTTAAAAAAAATCAACATTCTGATCCCTGCCACTGACCTATTGAGTGGTGTTTAGACTGAACTAGGGTTGTTTATATTCTGAGCTTTGCAATCGTTCGGAAGCAAATCTTTCTTAGTCATCACAAAGAATCTACAAATGTCAAGGAAGACTTTGGCTCAGGGTCAGGATGCTTGGAAGAGTGACACAAAATAAATAACGCGCTAATCCTCTCGGTTTTGCGGGATATGCGCTATAGGTACTGCGGTATAGGTACAACAAAATTGCTAGCAATTTTGTTGTAAAAAAAAAAAAAAAAAAAAAAAANAAAAAAAAAAAAAAAAAAAAAAAAAAAAAAAAAAAAAAAAAAAAAAAAAAAAAAAAAAAAAAAAACAGTAATCGCCACAAGTACGCGATTATTCCTGCAGTAGTGTCAAATCATTCATAATTACACGGAAGTCACCGCAATATCGCGGAAAATACGCGGTTTGACCAGCGATACGTCAAGTCCATTCATATAATAATTACGCATGATGCACATGAATATCGCGGCATTGGTCACGATCACAACAGATCAGACGAATTTCACCTCAATATTGCGGAAAATACGCGATTTCTATATCAATGCGAGCACAATACCTATCCATGAACGTCGATAACAAGTGATAGGTAAGAAGCTATGATTTTCCTGCAATTTCGCGTAATACCACATACCTGCTCCGGAGTTCGAATAGTTGCTCGCTTCATTTTTGCGTTCGATATCGCGAGTAGTGCGCGATATTTCTTGCGGATCCGATTAATCAAAAGGAATGGACCACTAGACAAGGTACGAATTTCAGCATGCTGATACATGTTACTTCACCAAAATTTCACGTAAAACACGATGCGCACAACGAAAATTACCGAAATCAACTCCTTCCGAAGATATTAATGATTCTTGGTGCGTGAATTCCAAGCACGCGCTCATTAAAACTCAATGCTCTAAGTGATTCACATCGCGCGCCAAACGTTATCATGAACGTCTCCGCGACAAATAAATCTGGCAACCTCAATCTTGACGCTTTGGCTCAGCTATAGCAAATTGCTTGTAGTTTGAAAAACACATGGAGGGAAATGAACATTGCTCGATTGAGACACAGATTAGTCCAGATCGCTAACATCCAATCCAGCCAATGCTTCAGAAGCGTGAGTAATTTTGCTACAGGTTAGGCAACTTCAGAAAATTGATGGCACTACCAGTAGTGAAAGAACTTGACCGGATCGAGAGAAATTTCCTATTGAATCTGATTATAAAGCTTGAAAAAAGTATAAATAGTCATGTGTAATAATGGTTTTTGATCAAATAAGATTTTATCAAGTACTGCTATGCTAAGTATTCTGTTTCAATATTCTTACAACAGTTGGTAGCAATAAACTGCTCTCATGGGGGCCTGGCGGGAATTCAAAACTAGGAACCAAAAGTCTCATTTTGGCAGGATTTTGCTTTAATTTTCGGTTTCTAAGGCTTTAAACTTCAAAAATATGATATATTATAATCTGCAAATTTTGTCAATAATGTTATCTACTCAGTATACTGATGAACTCTGATTTGTTTATTTCCACCGATAAAGCACAAAAACATAGCCCGATTATACGAATAAAGAAGGAGAATTAATTAAAATACGGGTAAACAAGGCTAAAAATTATTGAAACACTTAAAGGCAGGACGTTTCGAGCTGCTACCAGCTCATTTTCAGCTGCAAAAACACATAAAAACAAGTAAAAAATTGAGTGGCGACCTGACCCCAGCCGTTATTATGAGTGGTTACGTGATAACGGCTGAGGTCAGGTCGCCACTCAATTTTTTACTTGTTTTTATGTGTTTTTGCAGCTGAAAATGAGCTGGAAGCAGCTCGAAACGTCTTACCTTTTAGTGTTTCAATAATTTTTAGCCTTGTTTACTCGTATTTTAATTAATTCTCCTTCTTTATTTATTTCCACCTTAATTATTTAATCTGGAAATATTGAACCACATAAATTCTACTGAGAAACTAATTCTTGAATTCTTCGGAACGTTTCATCCCACAAAAATCTGAAAAAGAAGTATTCTCCCGCCGAAAATCTGCTGAAAATAGCCAAAATTTCAGTTTTGGTTCCTAGTTTTAAATGCCCATGGATTTTCCCGCCAATGGCGCTCACAAAGCTACTCACGCTCTTCCGCCGATGTTAGCGATCTGGACTAATCTGTGGATTGAGAAGCTTGCTGAAACCGTTGTAGTGCGTGATTTGACTTACGTAAAGCTTTGAGTTTCCTGTGAGCGGGCAGTTCAAATTCCTCGTAACCAATGTGAAACAAAAATGTTAATATAGCTTCGTTAGGAGTTGGTTTCAGTAATTTTCGTTGTGCAAATCGTGTTCTACGTGAAATTCTAGTGAAGAAACAGGTATTGGAATGCTTAAATTCCTACCTAGTCCAGTGGCCCATTACGTGCTTTACAACTTGACATCGCAAAAACTGCGAAATTTTTGCATCGATTAAAAAAAAAGAGAGAGAAATTGAGCGATTATCACCGCATTATTTCGGAGGATGCGCGATTTTTCCGACGGTAGTTCAAATCTGTCATAATTAAGCGTGACGCACTTGAATATCGCGGAAAATACACGATTTTTATATCAATGCAAGCATGATGCCCACGAGCATGAGCGTCGATCAGGGTGGCATGAAACGTGAGAGAGAAATGAAGGATTGGAAATTTCAGTGAAAAATTTCATGAAATTTCATGAGGTTGTGAAATATTTCAAACATATTTTTCAGGGGCTAGAGTACGCAACCCGCACTCGAACACACACAAATAGAAGAAAGTCACAATTTTTACATTTTACGAAACATGAAAAGGAGCCGGTATTTTTCAATATCTTTCATGAATTTCATGAAATATTTCACGAGAAATTTCAAGATTTTATTTTTCGTGAAATTTTGCCATCCTGGCGTCGATACCTTATGATAGGTAAAAAGCTATGACTTTCCTTCAATTTCGCGTGATACCACATACCGACTCCGGAGTTCGAATAGTTGCCAGCTTCATTTTTGCGTGTGAAGAAGTGAGATGTTACGCTAGCTTCATCTGAATACCGCGATAAGTACGCGATTTGGACGTATTTCTGTCAAACGAAACTACGTGCATAAAGAATTGAGCCTTGAGACCCATAAGAATATGTGCATGACAGGGCTCACGTCATTATGCACATAGTTCCGTTTGATAGAAATACGTCCATTTGTCGAGCGGATTCGTTTGATCGAAGGAAGTTACGGGATTCTCTTATGAATCGTGGGAAAAACTCGGTTTTTCCAGCGGCTTCTTTTTAAAAAAATTATAAATTGAACGATATTCACCGCAGCGGTGGTGTGTCACATCGCGGTACCAAGGGAAATTTTTCAGCGATTATAATTGCGATCACAAAGGATCACACGAATTTCACCTCAATATTGCAGAAAAAAGATTTGCACACCCATGCGAGCATAGCATAATATTCATGAGCAGGGCCGGATTAAGGGGGTGGCCACATGGGCCGTGGCCCATGGCGGCAGATTTTGCAATTTTTTTGAATGTAGGTATAAAAAAAATCGGATTCAGAAAAAAAATTATCAATGAGAAAAGGGGACGAAATCTCTCTTTCCTGAGAGTATAGTAATTTCGAATTTTTTCGTTTTTCGGTGATACAAGAGACAGCATCTTTAATCAGTCTAGTTAAGAGAGGAACTAAACACGCAATGGACCACTAGACAAGGTACGAATTTAAGCATTCTGATTCATGTATCTTAACCAAAATTTCACGTAGAACACGATTCGCGCAACGAAAATTACTGAAACCAACTCCTAACGAAGCTATATTAACATTTTTATTTCACATTGGTTACGAGGAATTTGAACTGCCCGCTCACAGGAAACTCAAAGCTCTACGTAAGTCAAATCACGCACTACAACGGTCTCAGCAATCTTCTCAATCGAGCAATGTTCATTTCCCACCATGTGTTTTCCAAACTATAAGTAATTTGCTATAGCTGAGCCAAAGTGTTAAGATTGAGGTTGCCAGATTTTTTCATCGCAGAGACGTTCATGATAACGTTTACGAGCGATGTGAATCACGTAGAGCATTGAGTTTTCATGAGCGCGTGCTTGGAATTCACGCACCAAGAATCATTAATATCTTCGGAAGGAGTTGATTTCGGTAATATTCGTTGTGCGCATCGTGTTTTACGTGAAATTTTGGTAAAGAAACGTGTATCAGAATGCTGAAATTCGTACTTTGTCTAGTGGTCCATTTGGCCTGGAGCTCAGCGTAGAGAGGAATGATGACGAAGACTTGAAAAGGAAAGGACAAGCCCTCGGCGCGGCGGTCGGCATGTAACAAATATTAGCGCCTACAAGACTGCATGAATACTTCACGCATTGCGTCAAACACTGCGGACATGACTCAGGAGCGGTTGGCTTGAAACGCATAGCGCCTACAAGACTGCATGAATACTTCACGCATTGCGCCAAACACTGCGGACAGGACTCAGGAGCGGTTGGCGTGAAACGCATAGCGCCTACAAGACTGTAGGAATACTTCACGCATTGCGCCTAACACAGTGCTATCAGCGCGGCGCAGGCACAGCGGCGGCGGAATAAGTTAACATTATTCAACGACATTTATGTTTGTTTTTTCATAATTTTTTGGTTCATTTCTTATAAATGGAGGACCTTGTCCACACAGAGACAGGTTTACGGAACTTAACTTTCGCGCAAAGTTCCGTGAAATTTTACTAGTAGTGTTGACAGGGCTTTCGCAAGAAATGTATCCAACATGAGTAGGTAAACGCGTCTTATGCACCCCTCCCCCTCCGGCATGTTCACTTGATGGTTTTTATTGATGTGCCAAAACGAATGAGAAGGGGGCGGCAAAATCCAGACGGCCCATGGGCGGCAAGTGCGTAAATCCGGCCCTGTTCATGAGCGTCAATAACTTTTACCAGGTTAAAAGCTACGATTTTCCTTCAATTTCTCGTAATACTATGTACCTACTCCGGAGTGCGTATAGTTGCTCACTTGACTTCCGCGTGTGAGAGTGCGATGTTACGAGAGTTTCATCGGAATATCGCGAGAGGTGGGCGATATTTCCGGTGGATTCATTCGATCAAAAGAAATTACGCGCTATACATTTCGGTATCGCGAGAACTGCGAGATTTTTGCATCGATGATTATTTAAAAAAAAAAAATGAGAAGTTACGCGATAATCACTGCGCTATTTCGGCATGTTTCCGGCAATGTTTCTGGCAGTGGTGCAAATCATTCATAATTACGTGTGATCCACCTGAGTATCGCGGCACCAGGTTAAAATTTTCCAGATTCTAATAAATAGATTAGGATCACGATGGATCACACGAATTTCAGCTCAATATCGCGGAGAATACGCGATTTTTATATCAATGCAAGCATGGTATCCATGAGCGTCGATAACTTGTAATAGGTAAAAAGCTATGATTTTCCTTCAATTTCGCGTGATACCACACACCAGCTTCGGAGTTCGAATAGTGGCTAGCTTCATTATCGCGTGAAAAAAAGTGAGATGTTTCACGAGTTTCATCTGAATATCGCAAGAAGGACGCAATGTTTCCATAGGTATTTGAGTTTCATAAAATTTGACCGAGAGTTCTTGCAGAATTTCCCTTTTAGAGGAGAGGTGAAAGAAGAGTCTTGAAACAATTAAGGAGACACAACTGAAGATTTTAGCAAAAACTCTGTCTTACAATCATTTTTATTGATCTAACAATGGACACTTTGTTGCAAAGAGATCTTTACTTATGAAAAGTACATCAATTTGAGGTCAATAATTTGATGATTACTTCCTTCGGAGACACATCACTTGTTTCCGCTGAGGGTAAAAAAAAAAAAAATTCAGCATCTTTGCAATAACCAGTCATTCTCACCTCAACTTATTTAGCACTCCCTAATTTGTTTGATGAAAAGAATGATTCATCGATGGCTTATCACCAACTGTCAACCCAAAATGAAAAGAGTGAATGATGTAGGGAAAAAAGCAAATTACCTGAATCTAGTTTGAGAACTTTCAGCAAACCATTATCACCACCTACTGCTATCCAGTCTTGCTCTGAATTCCACGCAAGACAATTCAATCTGGTGTTGTTCGGAATGGCAATCTAAAAACAAGAAAAAGTTTCCATTGTATAATAGATTCTACTTATTCTATTTTTTGGTTCAATATCAATATGGTAGGGGTGCAGAAAGTTCTTTGCTTTCGCACATTACTGTCCTCAAAAGACTACGTCCTCTTCCCTTCTTGGGAGCAGCCTTTACAGTGCAGTCCACGGAAAACAGCATCCTTCACTATCTTCTTTGCATAACAGAACAACACACAATTTACTTTACTAAAAGCAACATTCTTTGCAGTTTTCTTCTAAAAAAATAGTATGTTTAGCGGTTTCCTTCACAAAATTAGAGCATCCATACATAGAAACAGAATTAGAACTTTAAAGAGCAAAAATTTTGGGTGCCTTCTGTCTTCACATTCTTCCTTCTTTTCAAAGCCTCCATAGTTATATTTTACATCTTTCTACTTAAGTTTATATAGGTGTGTTAATTTATCCTCAGCATGTGAGGAAACATTTACCCTGGTCTGTTTGGACAAGATATTACACTTTTTTCTCGATCACATCGAATAGCTCGACCTATAATATAACTTGAAAAAAGTATGATACCTACTTGAGGTCATATTTCAAGTTTAGGAAAGAATCCAGTTTCGTCTGTTCGGTATGTCTCAGAAAAAAGTGTCAAATACCTATTACCCATGGATCCTTTTTAAAAAATCTGGAAAATTGATTTTCGAAAACTCTGACGTAAAGACTTTTGTCTGTTTTCGAGATATTTTCAACAAAAAATAAATCCCTTGATATTTTTCATAAACACCCCAGCAAGTGGATACCAGGTGCATTGGCCAATCAGAGATGACTTGTAAAAGTAGGGGTGCCACTTGGCCTACAATTCCACTTTACATTGCGGCTAGGGATGGCGATTTTTCGAATAAATCAATTTCGGGAGATTGATTCGATGTTCAGTAAAAATTCGATTCAATTTTAAAATCAATTTGAGTTAAAGGAAAAATCGATTTTCTTCGAAATCAATTTAAAACACTTAAAATCTACCTTCAACACCAAAAACAAAACTGAATCTTGAAATGAAACTCGGGTTTCATAGAATTTAGGCCTTTTTGTTGTTAATTTTTTCAATAATTCGATTATAAATCGGCGACAAAAAATCGATTCGATTCCGAAATTTTTTTCCAAAAAATCGATTTAACGAAATAATTGATTTGATATCGCCATCACTAATTGCGGCTTGTGTTTTCTCTTTGAGAGCTGCTTCAAACCGCAGATAATCTAGTCCATTGCGTTTCAATCCATGAAACGAAAAGAAGAAACTTTGGGGGTAAAAAATGATTTGTGGACTTGGGAGGGAACATTAAAGATGGCCTGCGGGGCGATTATTGAAATGATATCGACTGTATGTCAGCGCTTTGTCGTGTCGCGCCATCGACTAAGCAATGGCTTAGTCGATGGCGCGACACGACAAAGCGCTGACATACAGTCGATATCGTTTCAATAATCGCCCCGCAGATGTGGGAACACCCATAGGCGGTTCTACGGGGGTGTCGGGCACCCCCAAGCAAAAATTAAGTACGGTTATTGGAACCGTGAAATTACTGATTTTAAAGATTCTGTATTCGCTTGAGAAAAAATCCCAGCAATTAATTGAAAATGTTTTAAACAAAATTAATATTGATAGCCGTGTATTACAAAGATTCTACTGTTTTTTTATGGTAAGATTGTAGTTTTGATGGAAAGTTTTGCTAAAAATTTTCAAAATTGAATTTATACGTATTTAAGTAGAAAGGAAGGAGAGAAAAATAGAAAGGAAGGTAGGAAAGGGATAAAATTTGAGGGCCGAAACTTAGGCCTCCCCGAAGCGACCGTCTCCTTCGGGGCCGGTCTCTGACATTTTCCACCTCTGGGCACCCCCAAGCATGAAGGTCTAGAACCGCCTATGGGAACGCCTGGATCATGACCCTGGAGTAACACTGCTCAATTGAAGCAAGCACACAACGAAACTCATTCAAAACGAGCAAACACACTAGCTTTGCCACAATTTTTCATGACTTTAATGACAGCTTTTTTCTTCTCAAGGCTTAAAATTCTATGTAAAGTAATATCAGGCAAAAAGTTGAGGGAACTGAAGTATCAGAACTTCAAGAGCTTTGTTTGGATTGCCGGGGATAGCTACATGAAATTGCATATCCCCTTGGATTCACATTGGAAAAACACTTGGAATGAATGCAATTAAAGAATGATACCTCACCTTCTTACTCAAGTAGACGAACATTTTGGCGAGAAGATAGGAGAGTCTGAAATGGTAGCGTCCACAGCTCAGGTCATGTTCAAAGTAGATGGATTTTGAAGCGATGAAGGCACTATGATTTCCTCCACTTCACGACATTATTCATTGCTGCTGGTAGTACTGAGATTTGGTTCCTCTTGCTTGCAGGCCGCTAGTCACAAAAACTCACGGTACTTACATTATGTTACTCCTTGATTAACGAAACCCAAAGAGCCGCTCCCGCTCGATGCTCGAATTCGAACAAAATGCACAAAATGAAATGAAACTGCATCAATCTTCCTTGAAACTGCATAGGGCATTCGGCTGCATTCGGCAAATGTTAGGGCGTTGTTAGGGCAGATGGCTTGGCCAAGCTTGGCTGGCTTGTGTTTAGAGATTGTTGCTAAGGGATTGGCGATTAGCCGAAGGGGGTTGGGTTGAATGATGATGATGAATTAGCATCCATGCCATTAGCTTTACCACCCTTCGTTATCGTCTTTGGTCACGAGTTTTTGTTTGCAGAGCTGCAAAGTTTAAGTTATAATTTTACAATATATTGGTTGAAATTTGACAATATGACTCTCCGCTATTCCGTGTTTGATGACGTCATGACTTCCTTGCGATTTGTCCAATCACAAATGCGATATTACGATCTTCCGACCTGCGACGACGGATGACTGATGACTGATATATCGATACATTATCGAAAGTCCAATCGAGGTTGGGATTTTGGTAACTTTGAAGTAAATTCAGGAAGTTTTATCAGTTTCTTCAATTTTTCCCCCCTATTTTCCGGCTCAACTCTCAAAATTATCACACCCTTGGATTCTGCCACCATTTTCATTAAAGTTTAGTTCCCCCTCAGTGTTCTAGGTCTCTAAATTAGCCAGTGTTTATATGGTGTGAACGTCCCAGTAGGTACGACTGGAATAGCATATCTAATTCAATAAATTTAGAAAATGATAAAACTCTTTTCCCTAAAACAACAAAAAAAGGATGGTGAACCAACTCCTCGATCTGGAAACCAAAAGAAAGCTTCTGCTGCTCAACTTAGAATAACGAAAGGTGAGTTTAATTTTATGGCCCTTTGTGTTGGATACTGCACAATTTATTTAGGAAGGTTAAACAGGATCCTTTAGAATGTGTTTTACAGATACCCTTGTCCACCAACTCCTTTTATAGAATTTGCCTCTTTCTCAAGATAATAGCCATTTTTCCCTCCATACGGTGGTTTTATACTCAGTCAGATCTGTTGCAATGACCCTGTATGAGAGGCGAAGCGTTGCAATACATCTTCAATATGCAGTGCTTAACGAAAGTGACCATACGTAATCCTTCATGGCCATTTTGCCCTTCCTCTCTGATGTATCAGTATCCATCAGGATATATCATCTCTTTTGTAGTGTAAGACTTGACATGATGAAAACTCCACCAATGTTGACACCTGAGCACCTGTATCACTTAGCGTGACAATGTTCTTCCTTTGAAAGGCCCCCTTTGGCAGACAAATTCCTTGAGCTGTCACCCGCACTTGAGTGAAACGACCTCAGATTTCTGATCATCATCTTTGGTTCTTGCTCTCATTCAGTTCTTCGTCATGTCAATTGTAACGTAACACACTTGCCGTGCAAATGACGCCCTTCTCTGTAGATTGCTAGCAATCAACTTTCAAGGTTTTAGCCAGTCCCACATCTGTTCGTATCTGGAAGAGAAACTTTCCTTCAACTTACTTCGATTGCAACCAAATTCAGCCTCGTCAGAATTCTGTAACTTCATATTAATAGGTCTCAAAGGAAAGTGAGTTCGTTCTTTAATATAGTGCACTGTAAGAAAACTATCATGCAATTCAATCAGAATGTATGAAAGTCATTTGAATAATTAGACAAAGCTGTTTTTGTAACATGTCCGATGGCTTATTTCATATTAGAAGAGAACTTTGTGTCGTTCAATTTTTGTTGTTGAACCATTACTTAGTAGGTCAGTGCTGTAAGTAGTAATCCCTTTTAAAACTCTCAGTCTTCAGCTCATCGTAGCAATATATGGAGCTTGCACATCGTATGTCGAGACAAACGCCAAAGTATTGTTTATGTCACCACTCATCAGTGATGCCATCTGATTGCATGTATTTACCTGTAAAGTGGTGATAATTCAGAGCTCATCAGAGATTGACAATTGTCTCTATATACGGCACACAATCTCTAGTTAACTTTTGGTGCGGTGAGTCAGCTAGTGTTTTTCAAATAAATCTCCATAATTTAGCAACAAGACCAGCAAGTAGTTTTACCTCTATATCAAAATGTTAAGTAATTTTTCATTTTGTATTTTTTAGACATCAATGAACTTAATTTGCCGAAAACTTGCAACACAGAGTTTCCAGATCCGGATGACTTGCTTAACTTCAAAGTTATCATTTGCCCAGATGAAGTAAGTGTAGATCTCCCAATGATTCTCCTCGTCTTAATCCTCAAGAAAAATTCAATCTGACAGTGCTGTCACTGCTCAGTTTTATTTTTATAATTATGCATGTGTAGTGTAAAAGGTAACTTTTTCTGCGGTTCACCAATAATTTAGTCTGAATTTTTAAAACTTTATTCATCGATTTTTTGGGATTCGCTCCCATTATCAGGTACTAAAAAATATAATGATGAATGAAAAATGTGTAAACTTGTTGCAAGACATGAAACATGGCTGGTTGTGTTGCACATGCAAGTTCACAAATTTTTTGTTTATTATTATATTTTTAGTACCTGACGATGGGAGAAAATCCCTTAATGGCAATTGTATGCAGCCTCAAAAAGTTCAGACTTAATTAATAGTGAGTCACAGAAAAAGTTACTTTTTAAACTACTAAGTCAGGGTAAAGAGCCTTTAAGATGAAAAAGAAAATAATAAAACAGCTATATCACAGCTTTGGAAAGTTAAATCTGCATCAATTGATGCAAAGAATATCCAAAAATGAAAAAACACCAATCCATCAAGAGGAATGAAAAGTTAAGGAACGACTAAGTGCCAATGTATGAACTAAAATTTTCTAACTAAGTTTCATGAGCGTAGTTGCTAGCTTTGAAAACCATTCATTGTAAGTGCTCACAAGAGGCCATTTGTAAAGAATATAATACCTGTGCTATGGGTTTGTGAAAAAGGTTGAATTATCTCAATGGACCACCAGACAAGGTACGAAATTCAGCATTCTGATACATGCTTCTTAACCAAAATTTCACGTAGAACACGATGCGCACAATGAAAATTACCGAAATCAACTCCTTACGAAGATATTTAATAATTCTTGTTGCGTGAATTCAAACCACCCGCTCATTAAAACTCAATGCTCAACGTGATTCGCATTGCACGCTAAAAGTTATCATGACAGTCTCTGCGATAAAAAAAATCTGGCAACCTAAATCTTGACGCTTTGGCTCAGCTATAGCAAATTGCTTATAGTTTGAACAACACATGGTGGGAAATGAACATTGCTTGATTGAGGAGATTGCTGAAACCGTTGTAGTGCGCGATTCGACTCACGTAGAGCTTTGAGTTTCTTGTGAGCGAGCAGTTCAAATTCCTTGTAACCAATGTGAAATAAAAAAGTTAATATCTTCGTTAGAGTTGGTTTCAGTAATTTTCGTTAAGCGAATCGTGTTCTGCGTGAAATTTTGGTTAAGAAACATGTATCAGAATCCTTTAATTCGTACCTTGTCTAGTGGTCCATTTGCTTTTTAGAATGTGTTCGCTGTTTCAGACAACAAATGCTCTCAAAAACTATTTCGAATTATGTCTTTTGAACCATTTTCCATATCCTTAAATGTCAGGGAATTTTCCCAAAGTCACGGAAATTGGGGAAATGTCATATAATTTCATTTTCTAAATTCTATGACAACCTTATAATATTCGTTATGGAAGGTTCTTAATTGGCATTCTCTTGCTTATGAATAAGTCTGCAGCTGATTAAAGTTTATCATTTTCTTGTTTGTTCATTTTTTTTCAAGGGTTTCTACAAAGGAGGAAAGTTTACGTTTAGCTTTAAAGTAGGACCAAATTATCCTCATGAGCCTCCGAAAGTAAAGTGTGAGACGCCTGTCTATCACCCAAACATCGATCTAGAAGGAAATGTCTGTCTCAACATTTTAAGAGAAGACTGGAAGCCAGTTTTAACCATAAATTCAATTGTTTATGGGCTGCAATACTTATTTTTGGTAAGATTAAGTAATTTCTAGTCTGAAAGCTGATTTGGCTTTCAACTTCAGTTTTTCTCAAGGAACTATTATTATATATATTGTGATCTTATTTAAGGTCCGAAATGGTTTAGCTGATCTGCCTCAGATTTTAATGTGTTTCAATTTCCATATCCTCAGCAAACTGCTGAAGAATAGTTGAGTCCTCTCTACTTCTCTTAATAGCCATTGCTTTATTTTATGGAGGGGTCCATTTTGATGAGACGGGGCCACTAGGGAATAGCTTGCTCAGAAACCTAGAAATTTTTATAAATGGAAATCAACAAAATTCAGGTTTGAATTTCCGCCTTACCTGGGCTAGCTGGGTACATTATCACATCACCTGGCAGCACTTAGCTGCCCGCTCTGCAGCGTGCAATGTAATCTCTCGTCAAGTTTACATGGATTTTTCGGCTCCTAAAATGGAGAATTTGCACACAAATATTTAACTGCTTCATCTGGAAGTACTTGATGAGCTGAGTTTGCAGTATATTTTACAATATTTTTTTTTAATGGAACATTGTTGAAAAATATACTAATACGTGGGAAAATGTGCCGCCTCGTGACAGTATCTGGCGACATTTCCCATTTTAACACAGACATTGTAGGAAACTAGGTCCTTTCATCATATTTCCTCCAATAGTTGTTCAATTTAGAACCAAGGATTATCGTGTGCTCAGTTGTCTTAGCAGTTTCATTTTAAACACAGAATTTGTAAAATTTCAGACACCTACAAATTTTTTTTTGTGGTGATGACTAAAAATCTATGGAGACAGCCTATTCTCATCCCTACGTATCTTAGATGCCTTAAATATCACTCCATGAATATTTATTTTGCATTTTTTTCTATTAATATGAATATCAAAATAAGATAAAGTTGCACCGTTCTAGAGATTGAGATTATGATACGATCGACTTGGAGCAAACTGTTCTCATGAACATTTCTCTCAGTTCCCTTTTTTAAAAATTAGGCACCGGTTACTAATTCAATTTTCTGACTGCTTTTTTACCTTTATTCAGTGAGTAAACATTATCATTGATATATTTTCTGGTTTCAGGAACCGAATCCGGAAGATCCTTTAAATAAAGAAGCTGCCGAAGTTTTGCAAACCAATCGGAGGCTATTTGAGTGCAACGTACAGAAAGCATTGCGAGGAGGCTATGTTGGCAGTATTTTTTTTGAGCGATGTATGAAATGATTATCCTAAAAAACGATCTGTGATCTTAACGGAATTAACAAACTGTCCTCTTGACAAACGATCAGCTTCGGTAAAAATGCTGCATGATTGCCAATTGAGTGGCAAATCTTCTATAAATTCCAAATGCGTGAATCGGCAAAATCAAGTCATATTAATCTTGTAAATATTTTATTAATACTGTCTAGAGATATTATTTCCATTATTTGTATTCGTTTATTTGTTTTTATTCATTTTTTCCAATAACTCCCTCTCCCCCCTTTTTTTGTATCATTTTCTTAGAATTTTTGTTGCTCGGCAAATTCCACAGAATTCACCAACTGACAGACTCGATGAAACTTGAACGAACAGTTTTGGTCAGAAATGTGTTTACTCATGACATGTATGTGAAAAGTATCTTGCATACGCTGCCCTTTGAGGAATTATCTCTCTGTGTTGTTGTTTCTTTTTAGAGAAGATAAAAACGTGTCTTTGTAATTACTCAATCCCTCTAATTTTTATAACAACCTGCCCCTTCATTTTTTAATTTTTTTTTCTCTCTTTTTGAAATTTTAATGTCAAATAAAAGCTATTCAAAAAATTCTATTTTTTATTTACTTGTGCATTTACCTTTGTAAGGATTGCTTTATGTCTTCTGCGCACGTAAGCATACTGCTTTCGACAGCTTTGTTGTAAAAATAGATCTCCCATAGGAAGATATTCGCAAAACTTAGGAAAATATATCCCTCACCTGATCCAAATGATGAGTATCATCTGACTGGAACAATTATCAATCGATACTTTGTGTCCAGTCTTGCAAATTTACAGGAAGCACTCTCTTACGAAGATACCTATTTTCATAACTTCAGGAATCTTTTGCAAAAATGACGAGTTTTTAAAATCTCAGAATCCCAACAACATTGTTAAGAAATTGGGAAATTCTGCAGAAATAACACATACTAAATTATGTTCAAAGAAAGTTCAAGAAACAATTTAATTAGGATTAACCTGGCTTTTTCTGTGACAGTAACTGAAGACATCGGTCAGTAATAGCTATTCTTTTGCAACACTTGGGTGAAGGTAAGATTAACTGAAGGAGTAAGACGTCAATGGAAATGCGTTTCTCAATTACAATGTTTTAAAATCTCCACACATGTTTTCTTTTTCTTAAGGAACTCTTCTCAAAATATTTTCTTGAAATGATGTATAATTTTAAGGTTGAATGAAGAAAAGTTCAATAAAGACTGCTGGTTAGTCACCTTTTAAAAAAATAGAACATGAGTGGAAACTTCCAATGTTGCAGTCTGAGGTGCAAATTTTATGGCATTGACCGTCTCTAAATTCTCAAAATCGAATGATACACAAAAAAGGCGTCGGTAGCTTTTCCTAAAAAATTTATTTGTGCTATAATTTCTAAGACAGGCGAAAGCATGAAAGGACTACGTACAAAATCTTGGAGTGTGAAGCCAACAAAATTTCTAAAATTTTTAAAATAATACCGCAAAAATAGGAAATACTAGGTAACAACGAATAAAATTTTCTTGTGGATAACTTTCTCCTCGGAGTGCATTCTAACAATTAAAGCTCATGAGTAGGATTTATTTACAAAAATAGCAGGACACGACACGTAGGAAACTAAGAGGAAAGAATCTTCAAAAAAATAATGAATAAAAGAAAAAAATGTGGGAGTAAATAAAGTCATGGAAATGGAGCTTAAAACCACTTAAATTATAGTATTTTTTCAGTTTCCTCTCAGAGAGCACAATGACTTGAGGATTATAAGCGCTTGACTAGCACTATTTAGCTGAGTCTGTGTATATTTAAATATATTAAAGTGCCAACTCTTAAATCATACGTTTCTGATTTGTGAAGATGGTGAAATTGTTTCCTTTGGAATTCGATCAAAGTTGCATTGACTCCAGGGCCTTGACTTTCTTGATAGACAATTTAGAGGGCGCTGAATTTTTTTTTTTTTTTTGTAGTGAAAACAATCACCATGAGAAATTTAATTTTGGTAATCTCGTTATGGCTGTCTAGTCAGCTGAAAGCTTAAGCGTTGACAACAAGCCTCTTTACTCCTTAAGATAGAAAGAGAGGAAACTCAAAGACAGGAAAATAGTCAGGAGAAAGGGAAAGATGAAAAATAAAAACGATAATAAACAAGAGAAATTATAAATTTTTTAACTAAAATTTTATTCATGTCGGATTCTGTCTTTACAAAAGCATACAAAATAAATAAAAAGGTGAAAAAAAAGGAGTAAAAACTGGAGAGAGGTGGACAAGAGATCAAGAACATTTTGAATGAAGACATGAACTTAAAAAGGAAGAGAGAAACAAATAAAATGTATAAATAATAAAAAATAAAAAGAGTTTTCTTGAGGATTAACAAAAGAAAAAAATGAGGAATGTATCGATAGTAAAGCTAAGACAAAAAATAAAAAAAAAAATAAGATTCAACACCAAGTTATTCATTGATCTAACTTGAAAATCAATTCCATTTCAACTTTTTCTTTTAATTTATTATTTATGTTAAATAATAATAACACATTAGTTAGGGGTGAACTAACTGGAACTTGAATTAAACTCTACAAAACATGTGCTAACATCAACAAGATAGAAAAAAAAAATTAGCAAGCGTGCTTTGAACGTAATTAGAACCTCAACCAGTGACTATAATACCATGTATCATGCCTTAACAAGGCCTTGCGATTTCGAATCCATAATTATATTGATAAAAAACGAAAGTATAAGGTCAGGAGCTCATAAATCCTTCATTTAACTCCAATTAATGAATTCAATTTAAGTGAAAAATTCATTCGAGTCAAATGAAGGCTACTTAATGAACAATTGGAGACAGCTCTAAAGTAATGATGTATGGAAAAGTAAAACGTTTCATTTGACAGGAAGTTGTTCAAATTCGATTTAATAATCATCAGAGATGTTAAAATGGATGAGGATTTGCAAAAAAAGAAAAAATTCTAGGATAATCAATACACACTAGCTAAAGTTTTTGATTTGAAAAAGCTGATAATGATTCAGATATGAATCTTCCGCAACCATACTCTCTATCAATTATCTGTCATTCCAAGGTTTGGATCAATATTAATATTGATCAAAGTCTATAGTGCTTGCTGAGGTACTAAGTACGTTTCCCATGTAACATCATAGGCAACAGAACTAATAAAAGGATAAAAAAAGAGAAAAAAAAGAAACGTCATAGAATTAAAAACTTAAATCTAAACAATATTGAAAAAAAGCAGCTGCGTTAGATCAACATGTGGTACAGCAGGCTAGAAGTACAATAGTATTGGTACTGTGAAGCACCTTTGGGGCCTAAGAGTACTTTTTTGATTCAAAATTAACATTTATTTTCTAGATTGGACGTAGAAGGAAATGCCTAATAAATTCTTAGATTCGTAATTTGCACTTCGTAGCATAACAGGAGATAAATTATTAGAAAATATATGAAACCGACTGAACGGCATATTTGAAGAGAGACATAAGACCGCTGAAATTAATGGATTGCTTACACCCCTTTTCAAACAGGCAGTTCAATTCCAGTAATACAGTCAATTTTTCTGAATACTGCTGAACATTGTTCAATAACGGTGTGGTACCTTTGAAGACACAAGGCCCGAATTAGAGTGATGAACTAATTTCACAAGTCTGAGAGTGAGAAGTGAATTATATCAGAGTTGGGGAAATGAGAGTAACAGTGGGGATAACAAGGAAACCGCTAACAAATAGAAATAAATATAAAAATAACTAAAAATTACCCTTCAAAAATTCAGTAGCTCCTAAATAAAGGTAAATTAACTAAGACAGAGATTCTGGGAAGCAAAGATGGAGGAGGAGAAAAAAACCATGTTACGCTTCCATTAACTTACAGATTGAGACTATGAGGGATTATATAACCACTAAATACGTTTTAAATCTCATTCAAAAATTGAGGCTCCTGAGAAGAAGCATTTATTTATAAGATATTACAGAGAATGAAACTTCCGAAGAAATTTTTCGTTTATTATTTTTCTTTTAAGAGCAAAAGCTAATTTATCGTCAAGAGTACTGCATGGCACTGATAACTTGAGACAGTATTTCAGGCATTTCTTTCTCAGACTAATGCCTTCAAACGATTGTTTGACTTGACTTCAGAAACGCAAAAAAAATTTTCATGCCAGACTAAGTTCTGCTATAATTCCCTCTCATTGTACGTAATTTCATAACATTTTTCTCTTCAGGTCACTGTATTATCATATGTTCTTGAAGAACAATTATTATTATGACCCAACTCGAAAACAAAGAATTTCAATTACATCCTCGTAACACTTCTGTTGATTAATTTTTGAGCGGAAATCAACTCAACATTATGACTTGAAATTTTCTTAAGTTCTTCTTCGTCATTTCATGCCAATCAATGTAAACGAATTTAGGTCATAAAGCTGATTTCTTTCCTTATAAAACATATAAGAAGCACAAAAACTTAAAGATGTTGCAATTAAGACTTCGTTTTGGAGTTAAGCCATTAAAGAATTACCTTAAAATATTCACTGCTGAGCAAGACTTCTTTTGTACATTAATCCAGCCTTGTTCTTAAATAAAATAGTATTAAATACCTTTCTCTGCCATATGCTATGAGTAAAAACTAAGGAATACTTCATTGCAATAAAATAATATGACCAAGGAACGGATATAGATTGAAGGAGATTTAAAAGTTTCAAGTCTCAGAACTGTAAGTTACAAACAAATAAAAAGCTGCTTCAATAAAATCACAATATAAAAGCGTTACACTGCCAAATTTACAAAATGTTTGCCATCGAAAATTTTTAAGAATACATTCAAGATTGAACTGAATCACTTAAAATGTCCTCCTTTAAAACTAATAGGCTGTCCATAACGACAGTAAAATTTTAAAATTATAGTATGCTGTCTTCCATACTTGGTCATAAAACGAGATAAGGCTAAAATACATACACAATCATGCCTTATTCCGCTTTGCTGGTCAACTTTTCCAGTCAAAAATTCAATGTCTTTTAATACTGACTTTTAACACAAATATACAAGAACTGAGAAGTGAAAGACACAAAAAATTTTCTGAAAATTTCACTGTGACCAATATGTACCTTGATTTATAATTTGCTTTCACGGCACCCTCTGATGACAAAAATAAACCAAAGAAACTATTTGAAACGAAAATTAAAAAATTGACAAATAAAAATGAGCTAAAAAATTAATATAAAATAAATTAGGTACAAATTTATTGGATATGACAGCCTATTTACAGTTAGAAATAAAAATTATTAACATATTTACAGCAAGAAATAGCTCTATTGGCAGTTGATGCTCAAATTAAGAAGAGTTCAAAGAAAAATCGAAAAATATTAATAAGAGACATGAGACAGATTTTAGGCCAGTGTACAAATTTTCTGTTTGTATTCATGTATTTTTTATTTTTATTTATTTATTTTTTTTTTATTTTTATTTTTTTTTGGAAAGGCTCCATGCATTGCGTAATGCAAGACTTTTTCAGGCTAAAATTAAAAAATTGGAGTCTATTGTTTAGGCTTATCATCTTAAAATTAACGAAAATGGACAATTCAGGCTTGACTTTTGAAAACAATAAGTATTTATGATACACTCTCGTCTAAAACCATTTGATAACTAAAGAAATTGATTTCCTGCGAGTTATTTTTTCGTCACTGATAAAGATCAGCTTTTGTCAAAATGAGAGAAAAACTGGGGTTACATTTATACAATATTTCATCCAATTCATTGGCTAAATTTTGACCATATTATGTACAATCCAAATTTTGCCCCCTCAAATGTTAGTATTTGGTAATAATACTTGGGAATACTGAAAGTACAACGAATATGTGAACCAAGTCTAACAGAAGGAAACCAATTTGTTCAACTTCTGTCAGAAATGACACTGTTACGATTAATTATTCATCTATACAAAATATGCTTTTATAAATACTTCCATGCATTTGATTCCTTTCTAATAAACTCAGTTTATTAGGTGTGAAACAGTTATCATGGTAGGGATAGCGACACCTAGAAGATGCTTTTTCTATTAAAATAGAAGGTTGCTCACGAGGCAAACATATGTATATTCAAGTCAAGTTGAAAATGCAGACTGGAGAATTAAACGTAAAAAGGGAGAAAGAGTGACAAAAGTTTTTTTTATAAATCGTTTACAAATATTAACAGAGATTAACAATGCCTTACTGGTTTGTAAAAACCTAGGGACAGGGCCATGAAGAAAAAAAATTACGATTAATCTGTATACAATATTTTAGTTTACAAAATGTGTTGGAATCTTAAGGTTGGAGAGGATTAGATTACATTTGGCAGAATTGATCCAAGTTTTTGAGAAACAGACGATCAGATGCAAGGCGGATAAAGAATGGTGGTCGCATCTTGTTGACATCACACTGCATCAAATAAACTTTGGGTGCGTCCTGAATGCATAACAAGGCATGTACCCTCTGTCATCACAGCCTTTATTATGGTGGCTTAACTCGAAATGCAACCACTTTTCTTTATCCACCTTCGGTCAGGTGGGTGATTAACTTGGGCTAAATTTTGCATTGATTCCTGCACAGAATTCTGCCCTGAATTCTACCTGACAAGCTGACTCCTTGTTCCTGGGAGGACCTTGATTTTATTCTGCTGAACATAATTCGACTATATCCATAATCATTGAAAATTCATTTCAGGAAATGTTTCTGATACTGACATTTGTCGCGAAAATGTAGTGACCTATCTCTATAGAACTACTAACAAAGTAAAATTGCCTGCAGAAGCACTATAAAGCAAGGACATTTGTAAAACTTACAAGAAAAAAAGGAAAGAAAAATTGAAAAATACAGACATCGATCTCACAAGAAATTTTTTGATAGAATTTGGTAATTAGAAAAAAGACCACAGTATAAAAATAGAGTAAATTTGAGAATAAAAAATTACTCACTATTTACATGTTAATCTGGCAAGGTTATTCAGGATAGATTGCTTCGATTGAAAAGATAAACTTCCGTTAATAACTTGTGACTGGAACATACATTACACAGTACATGTAGTATCAATAGGGATACATGCTCCTTCTTGGGCAAGAGATAGATAGCGCTAGAGATTCGAACATTAAAATTCATGCAAAATGAAAGGAGGAAAATTGAAAGAACAACGCGCTTATTTAAAAACTTGATGTCGACTAAATGAGATTCATTTAATGCTGTCTCTTACGAATATGTTGCTTAAAGCAGAGGAACAGATCAACTAATTTAGTGCTGAATTGATAAAAAAACGATCATAAGTAATAATCGAAGAACTTGACAAATATTTTAGTTTCAATTCGGCATGTTCTGTTGGACAAAATTCAAGGAAATCAAATTTTAAAATAACTTTATCGTGAATCTCAACTCCTCTTCAGAAACGTGCTGATGATGCTGGAGGGTGCAGCCGGCGAAACAAGTACACAATATTGACAATTTACACGCAAGTGAGAACTAATTTACGTCATTTTTAACTATTCCTTGTGCGGTTTGCTGTACTTATTTTATAAACCAAACCTCATGCAAAGAAATGGATGATTGATGATGGCTCATTAAAAAAAAATAAATGAGAGAGAAAACTACATTCCAGCACAATTCAACGAGTACAAAAATAATACGCGAATAGCCATTGAGTCACAATAAATAAAGTCTAGCTTATTGTTAGTACCTGATAAAGCAACAGATCTACATCTGCTACAATTGGCAGCGGTATTAGTACCTTCATATTGTAGTGGGGGGAAAAACTAATGTATCAAAAAAATATTGATGATGAATTTTACGACGGAGCAAAAAATAGAGTACTTTGAAACTAAGATCTAATTATAAACTTTCTATCACTTTACGAGTATTCCTTTTATGTGAAGTACTTGTACATGTAACACAAGCAATTATCTGGATCACAAAATAGAGCAATTTGTGGATTCTACTTAGAAAAGTATTGGGGTTCATAACTGTCTTTATTTTGATATAAGTTTTCTAAATCAAGTAGTTAAGTAAAAGTAATAAACGTAACTTCACTTCAAACTGGAGGCAGTGATTTTTACCATGAGCAAGGAAATCATTCGCAGTTGTTCCTTTGATGCCTTTCTCTTTCTTATTCTGTAAACTACACTCTTCTGATGGAGTGGTTGACGATATTTTTACTTATTTTTTTATGAGTCTTTTTTTATATGCCTACCTAATTTATCCTCTACTCAATTATTCGTTTCTCTTGGATTTCATTTCTGGCAAGAATAAATATGTATGTGTGTATGGTCCATCCTTTCATGGAATTTCATCAAAATGAAGGGATAATTGCAACCCTGATGAAGGAATGCCGAGTCCAACAAGCTTTTTTCGTACAGTTATCCCTTTTCCTGTTTTAATTAGCCGCTGAGTACGCAATTATTACTTAGAATACAATCAGTCTAAAAAGATTTTCTGTTACTTTCAGTACAGACAAACGCAACAGATTTCATTGTAATTTCAAAATTGAAAGAGCGAGTGAGTTAGTTGCACAAGATACTTGGCGTGCTCTCCAGAGTGACTGCAATGGCAGTAGGAACAGCAAATGACTTTACGATTCTTGAAGAACAGACCTGCAGTAACAATTGTCAGGAAGTGTACTTTGGACGTGGAACTTGACCAAAGTTGATTGGACATTTTTTGGTAAAATGACATAAAAGCCTTGCAATCTCATGCAACTAACTCGCTCCTTTGAACACATTCCTACTTCGAGAGATACAGCAGATCAGATCCAATAATTTTCCAATCACAGCGATTGACTGAATTAATCTACCTTAACTAATTAGAAATTAAAAAAAAAAAAAAAAATACAAAAATATATACACTGCAGTCAATAAATTAAATGAAAACAAGCAAAACAGGTCTTCAGCTTTACAGTACATCAATTTTACGCTTTGAGAAAGCAGAGAAGATTCTTCGCTGGCAGACTCTGTTAGAGCCAGATCAAAAAATTAGTTCTTTACACATTTACACGTATGTTGCAATAGCTGATGGTGACTGAGGTTCTTCTGGCTTGCTTTTACTGGCAGCACCTTGTCCATACTGTCCGATAAAAGAGCCATCCTCAGTAAATCGGCCTGAAATCAGAAGTTGCGAAATTGAAATACCGAAGTAAAGATTTAAAGAATGCCCTTTAAGTACCGAGTAATCTTCAGGCTTGACACATAAGAAGTCTGTCACAAAGCAAATTGAAAATGTAAAACTGTTTAAAGATTCGATCAGGAAGTTTTGAGCCTGTGCTCCAATTCCACAGCAAAGCATTTCTACTAAACGCTATTTAAACTGGTTTATATTTTTCATCGAAAATCAAATAAGGGTGGAAGTTATGAGACATCACAGACTCTGATGCTTCTTTTACTGGTTTCAACATCAATATACAGAAATAGAAAAATTCGAGAATCATTTCTTTTAAGCTTTAAACAATAAATCTCTTCAAAACTCACTACATATAACAGAACTTTCAGCCTGACTTTAAGTATTTATGGTTATCAAAACATTTGGCACCTTCTGGCCAAAGTATCAGAAGTACTATTTACTCTTCAGCATGCCAGATGTGTTACCAGACATCTCAATTTGTTTTAATTTTTTCTTCAAAACTTTATCACATACTTCCATGAAAACTTCAAGGATCAATGTTGATGACAAAAGAAATATATATATTGCGTAAAATTTTTGAATGATTCTGTTCGTTAGCTTTTCCTTAAAAAATTAGACAGGTATGAGAGGTTTGGCAAAATAATGCCTAAGCACAAATGGTGCTTGTGATAATTTGCCCAGAAGGTGAGAAAAGGTTTTGATCAGACAAAGAGCTAAATTATTTACTTCCATTAGAATCTGAAGAGTGTTGTGAGGATAGTTCAAATACGTGTAAGAAACTCCATTCCATATTATATTGATTTTTCAGTTAAAGATTATATTTTTTGATCAGAATTCGAGTGTTAGACTTGTTTGGTTTCTCCATTCCTCCAGAATTTTTTCCGTTCGAAGCTAAACTGTGCTCTCAAAGCTTGCACAAGAATTAAGTGTAAAAAGCTGAGGAGTTCAAAGTTGAGAGGCAAATCGGACTTACTAGACGGAGGTAGCAAATCCGCTTGATGTTTCACCTTGCTTTTTTTGCCTCCCGTATAAACCGATGAAGGATCCATCTTCATTCATACCCTCTACACATGATAACATGCAAGGCAAAAAAAAAAGAAAAGAAAAATAATAACAGAAAAAAATGAAATAAAACATGAACACAGCCATACATTGAAAGGAGAAAAAGCATGCAAGGATAATTGGAGAACACTGATCACTTAAAAATTTAGAAGCTCATGAAGAATTGATAGTGCGGATTTCCTCTGTAGAATAAAATCAATCCCAGGAGGTGGATAGCCTGATTTAGATGCTTGAATACGTGATTATGGAGGAGATCATGAATTTTTTGGACATATCAATCATTTTAAGTTGCCAGAAATCTTGAACTGATGGAAAAAATATAGGTGGTAGGAAGTTTAAAGCCCTCTATTAGAAATTTATCCTCTCTATTTGTTCTGAAAAAATTGAGGGGCGAATCTTAGGGCAATTCTGTCTCTTTGGACGTCATCCTCAGATGGTGCTACTCCCTAACGAATCCAGTGACATTAAAACAGGAGTAGAATGTGCCAGGTGAGGAACAATGATAGAACAGCAAGAGACTAAAGCGACAAACAAGACTCTCCCTCCCTGCTAGTGATTTTTTTTATTCTTTGGGTCATTAATTCTCGTTTTTTCTCAGAGCTGACTATCTCCTCAACTGATGAACACACTTTCTTTTCGAGATAAACTTGCCTGGAGAAAAAAGTAAAAAACTACATTAACTTAGTAGTTAGCTTGCTCTAATAGCATAAATGTCTTCAGGCTGTTCGAAATGAATTGTCTATGCTCTGTACTCCTATGGGCCTGTTGCAAACTTTTGCTAGAGCAAAAATGAGAGTTGTTTCTTACAGATACAGATAATGTCTCAAAAATCACGATGAGTGCATTGGCAAAGTCTGAAATGCACTCATAACTTCACAATCTGCGTAAGAAATTTGCGTTTTTTTGAGCTTCCCGCTTCAAAAACGATACTCCAGCACAGGTGAACAATTTGTTAAAGGAGTCGTTCCATCGTTGCAATATTCATCGTGGCTGACGCTTCCGCAGTTCAGTGCGTAATTCAAGGAGAGATCAAGGTCAATCAAGGCGGGCGAGGAAAATAGGAACGTAAACACGCTGATTTATCTGCTCTTATCCTAGTCAAGTGTTATCTTGTCTTGTTTAACATGTTTTGGCGGATTGGCGTCGGCCATGATGAACATTGCGACAATGGAACAACTCCTCTAACAAAATGTTCACCTGTGCCATAGTATCGTTTTTGAAACGGGAAGCTAAAAAAACCGCGAATTACTTTCGCAGATTGTGAAATTATGAGTGCATTTCAGACTTTACCGATGCGCTTATCTTGATTTTTGAGACATTATCTGTAAGAGACAACTCTTATTTTTGCTCTAGCAAAAGTTTACAACAGGCCCATTAGGCCAGAATTTTAGGGCACACCCTAAAGTCGCCCAGACTTGAAACTACCTTCAGATTGAGCAGTCATAGTGACTATTTTGCCGTTTGTCAACCTGTTTGTGTCACCACCACTTCTGCAGTAAGCACGTTGAGGAAACTTAAAGAAGATTTCAAGCAAGAGAAAATTTCAGGGAATATCATAAAATTCGGCCTTGGATTTATAAAAAATTTATTTAAAACAGATTCATTTCTAAGCTTCTTATGAGATTGAGGTCTTGACGGGGGGATGAACAAAAGTTAAAATTTATGTTCAGGCTTAACTCTGTTGCAAAGTTTGGGCGAGCTCTTTTTCACTGAAATCATGCTGCATAAAAGTAAAATTCAATACTGATGAGTATGAAAATATATACAGTAATGATGAATGAAATTCTGAGTGGTAAACAAACATTGGAAAATAATATGTGAGATGACATTGCTGATGCTAAGATCCAAAAAAATAAACCAAGTGCTCAACATCCAAATGGTGATGTACATAAAATAACACCCATGACAGGAGGAATAAAAAATTTATAGTTAATCCTAGAAGTGGAATAAAAATAAAACATGAAAACTAAATACATAAATTAAAAACATTTTAAAAAAAAAGTTATCTTGCAGACTGTCATGAATTTTTGAGCTTCCTCATTCTCCGATTTTATGAGTAGACCCCCAAGAAATAATATCACGAAAACATAAAATGTGATAAAAATATTGAAACAATCAAGTCAAAACAGAGGGAAAAACACAAACCCTTGACCTTCAGAAAACGGCCTAAAATACAAGTAAGTTAGTTCGAACAAGTTACAGAACGGAATCTGGTAGTTCATAAACATATCATCACATATTTTCTAAGAACGGCCTTTTGGATCTGTTTGAGGCTTCACATTCATAGTGCCTTATTTCAACAGAGAAAATGCATTTTAAACCTAAGATAACTTTTAGATAAAAGAAAGGTGATTAGAATGGTTGAATTTGATAGGGAACCGTGGAGAAAAGAATTTTAGAAAAGAGGCGATGGCGTATTTACAAACTAAAAGATTCAATGGTGTTAGATGACTGAATTCTATCAAAAAGTAGAAAACAATGAAATCTTTCTAAATGCCAAGTTTCTACATTCAAAATTAATGGGGAAATTGTTTTTGGACAGTGAACAACACATTCTTTGCTAGCGCGTAAGATTGTTCAATAGAAAGGTACATCCATTGATAATGGACACAAAAACAGTTTAACCGTCAAAACACAAGTCTATATCAAGCGCAACTAACCTATTTGCCTTTTATTTTGCTTCTGATAATCACTCAAAAACAATCGACCCTAAAAAGAACCAAAAAAAAAAAAACATGATGTCACAGCCCCCACAAAAACTTTACACGACACAAAAAACTTAAAATCTGGTCACCAAAAAGTGAATCTTAAAAAGAAACTGATGACAGTGCAACTGGTGCTTAACAAATAAAGCCACAATCAAGGAGCATATGGGCTGGAAAAAGTTAAGAGCCTGACTTACCCGTATCACCTTCACCGTACTCGGCCATCGAGTCCGTATCACTTTCAGGATGCCTGTGGTCCGAGTTTGTGGATCCACCTCGATGCAACCTGCTGTCGAGCCTGAAAAAAAAATTGTCAAAAGTTTTTATCGAGAAAACAGTTTTGAGCCCTAGTAGTACCTGATCGAACAGAAGTAAATCAGAGCTCCTTCATTGTACGTTGAGACAAATGTCAATCTTTGATTAGCTCCGAACTAGCACCACTCAACCGGTGAATACATGCAACCAGATGGCACCATTGATGAGAGGTGATAAAAACAATACTTGACTTTTGTCTCAATATACAATGAGCAAGCTCTATCGTGGGATTATTTTTTGGCACTAAATAAATGTGCATTCGTGAGCCTATTTATATTAAGACTGGAAGATTGAAACCAGTTGCCTAATTTTGTTCATTTGTCTAATTTTACTAACAGCCATGCTCATAAAATACCTCTACTGATGTTTTCCTCCTTTGTGATACTCTAATGCACCTTTCATCAGTGCTTATATAGGGCTATAGGCAATTTTTTTGGTGATTAACGTTTTATCAGATGATGTCTCCAATTTCAGGATTTTTAGAATCATGAGGAAATTAAATTGAGGCTTCCCATTAGTGACTCTTTGCTATCTTCTGTAACATTACACTGGGAACGCAATCTTTAGTCTGCACTATGCAGAAAGGCTAGTGAGGGGCTAAGTGGAACGGTTGATTTGCCTCAAAATGAGCCTATGTGCCTGCATTTCAACCCTTAAACAATACGCCAAGCCAGTACCTACCACTTTCGGGGGATTAAATTTTTACCACACTTAAATTTTCAACACCAAGTCAGAGTTACAGGAACACTTAAAAACGATAAAAAAAAAACCAGATTTGATACTTACGGCTGAGAGTATTCTTGGAAGTTGGGTTCATCTGGGTAGTCATGCCTTCCATGAACTGCTTCGCGTTCATGAACGACATATTTGCCGCCTCGGTTGCGTTTGACAACACAGATGAGAATGAGAACCAGGACTAGGAAGGCAATCGCAAGCATCATGCCTATGAACCATCCAGCGGTAATAATGTTATCACCTCCGCTTGGGTAGATTAATGGACCCTCTGAAATTGTAAAACAAGTACCGTGAATGCTACAGTCGAAGTCAACAAAACCACATTTTTTCTTATAAAAGAAACATTTGCAATGGATATTTTGTCAAGGTATAGAAAATTTTTAAAATCTGTCCGGTATTTGACTTTCAGAGGAACCAATATTTTTTAGTGAGTTTGTTGTGTGCTTGTGAGCAAGACGAGATTTCAATTTTACAACTCTATGTTCTTATTTGTTCGTGTGATATTTGAATACTTCTAAAAACTGCATATTTTAGAAATGAAAATTTAAGTGGATTGTTGTATGCGTCTTAAAGACAAAAGAAGGCACAATATATTGACACATACCTAGAACGGGTATTTCTACTTCTTTAGCATGTGATTCAGTCATGTATTCTCCGTCCACAGCTACAACTTTGAACTCGTAGATTTCTCCTGGTTTTAAACCACGAACGATGATATAATCTTCACTCAACTCAGCATCACTTTCCAACCACACTGGATCTCGCTTCAATCTAAGAATAAAAAGAGAGCATGAGATTAGATAGATGTGAAAATTTGGTATATTATTACCACTTGACTGAAATTCTATTGGAAAAAAAAACAAACAAACAAACAAACACAAAGCAACACTGATGTTAGTGAAAAAAATTGATCGCGAACTGAGGCCTTGTCAAAGTTTTGTCAGGTTTTGTCATATCTAAGAAGAAATGTACAATTTACAATGGGCTTTCTGAGTTAGATGAAAGTTAGAGCCTAGAGACAAATTTATCAGAATCAGCCTAACAACATCAGATGTTGCCTGATTTCCTCCGATGTTTCATTTTTTAAAGCAGAAAACTGAGCATCACAGAAACTTGAAATTTTGTGAGAACACTCTTCGCAATCTGGGGAAAATTCACAGAGAGTTAACTTACAGGCGTTGAATAGTTTATTTTTCTGTCAAAAAGATAAAACTATAGAGAAATAAGGTAATGTGAAATGCAGTCAGGCTAATTTCAGTTATAGATAAGAGTTAAAACAACATAGCAAGATCATGAATGAATGGATGGCCTTGGAATGAATTAAGAAAAATTTGAGGCTCGATACTGGGACATGAATATTGCTAATGGACTTAGATGAATATTGATTCCATTAAGATGGTTCGAAATTTTTTATCCCGTTTTATTGCATCAAGAATACTTCATTCTTTGAGTGAAGATTTGGAAATGTCACAGTTCCAAATGTATTTCTGGGAATAGGTTCTTATTAAGAGGGACATCAGCATTAATATCATTACAAAGATTAGCTTTGGCCATTAATCAAAAACCTCAATGAGTTTATGAGCAATTTTTTGGGCAGCCATCGGTGTTAAACAACCATCAATGGCCATCGGGTAATTTCTGATGAGCATTATTGGGTTTAACAACGCATCCAGAGTATCCAATATATTTTTTTTTAAACTATTTCGATAATACTTCAAGCACTCGAACATGGAAATAACACCTGAGACTATAATTGGAGACTGTTCACAGGAAAAAACACAAATCATTACCTGTACTTGACGAAAAAGTGAGAACCTGGTTTACTCGACTCGAGATTCGGCAGCCAAACAACTTTGACACTCGAGAAACCATTTTCAGACTGTAGCCTGAACCAGTTGAAGCGCGGTGTGTCTGGAGGAGCCGCTTGGGAACCCCTGGTTCTTTTTTCGACGAAGTAACCTTCACCTTCTCCGGCTCGAGTAGTTGCTTTCACCGTGACTCGGTACATAGTGCCTGGCTCAAGACCAGCCAACTTGGCGTGTGTCAATTTTGAACCTGGGATGTGGTGATCCCGCTCTAGCAAGGGACCAACTTTGGTACCTTTTACGGTTTGGTAGTAGATTTTGTAGCCCGTTATTTGCCCGTTTGGTTGTTCTGGTTGCTTCCATGTCAAGTACAAAGCTGAAGAGCCAAGAGCACTTGCTTCGAGCATCTGGACAGTACCCGGCACTCCTTCCATTGTTTTGAAATTTAACGTTTCACTAGCCGGCCCATTGTATCTGCCATTGTAGACCAAAACGCGAACATAATTCTTTGAGTCCGGGACAAACTTATTGATGTGAACCCTTGTCGAATCACCTTTGACGAGAATTTCTCTTGCCCCGTTTTCCCCGTCTTTATCCGTCCATGTTTGAATCTTGTAGCCTTCATAATGGCCCCTGATAGATTCCAGCGGTACAGGGTTCCAACTTAAAATGGCACTGGTAGCAGAGACCACTTGAACAATTGTAAAATTGGTGGGAGCTTGCGTTGGCACATCTTCACCTGAGTATCCGATAACTTCTTTTGCAGCAACGTTCGCTTGACCTTTTTCATTCATGGCCACAACCTTGATTTGGTAACGCTGGAACGTTGGCAGATTTGAGACAAGATGCTCCGATCTCCTCCAATCCACTATGTCGTCTGAACTCCAACCTTCACCAGGTATGTCACGCTTCCACGAGACTCGGTACTGGAATCGAGGAGCATTGTGTTCGATTTCAGGCATTATCTGAAACAATCGTTGGTTCATGGTAAGTTTTAAATAAATACATTCTTTCCAGGAAACGAAGAAAAAGTTGAGGGGGTACAACTTACTGTTGTTAGCAACTTTTTGTAAAGAAAGATTGTGAATATGGAGAAAAAGGGAGACTTTGCTCAAGTTGAAATCATAGCTACAAACTTTTTTTTTTTTTTTTGTAAATTAGGGAAACATAAGGATACAGTAATTGCAGTCAAAAATAAACTGCTTTCATCTAATTCCAAACTAAAAGTGTTCTGAAGAGCAAAAACAAATTTACCAATTTTAATTTGTCAGCTCAAGATTAGATTTGGAGTTGTACATACATTTTTGTGATCCTAAACTGCAATACTATTAAAACAAGAAAATCATCGAAATAGATAATCAGTTTAGAGAAAAATTTGAGAATTTCAGGGATCTTGCTTCCAAATTATTTCTTTGCCCCCTGATTTCATCAACTTATACCAAGAAGGTTCCTCAAGAACAAATATAGGAGAAAAGAAAATGGAACTAAAGATCATAGACTTACCGTCCAACGAATCACCATATTGTTGGGTTCTGTTCCTTTGCCTTCTACGTTGTCAGGATTTTTGTAAGGAACATCTGGCTGTGTTGTGCAAACTGTTGAAGAGTGAGGAGAGGGCTGCGAGGATCCGATTTTGTTGACAGCAATTACACGGAATGTGTAATTTGACCAAGGGCTCATTGGAACCTGAAAATGTTCACATGGCACCATGAAAAGTTTTTCAATACAAAGCCATCACACAATATGATCACGTATACTGATTTTTCGGATTTATCGGAGCAGCATGCGTTTTTCCATTTCAAAATCTTCTTGACTTTGTTCCTCATGTTTCGAAAATTTTTGAGTTATAAATTTACAAAATACTATGCTTCCTTGATTTGGGCGAATAATCATTAGTCCGACATGAATTTCTTTTGATCTGGTTTTCTTAAGATGAATGAACCCCACAATTAGCATTCCTAGTGTTAAACACCTAAGAGAAGAAGAGGCAAACAACTCCTAATTAACGTTTCAATTGCTCTCCTTGGAGACAAGCTTCCTGCGATTCTTGGATCCATAAAAAGCCACAAGATTACCCTTGGACAGAGACTGAGATCATATACGAACGGAAAACTTACGATATAGGCCATGTCAGTTGCTGGTACATTGTCGAAGGCATTTTCCCACGCATCAGGGGTGAAACTGGTGTTATATTGGATGATGTATCGTGATATCGGAGCACGGTTATCTCCAGAGGGCGACCATCTAATTGTTGCTTCTTTCTTCTCACAATTGACACTGACAAGTTTTGGAGCATTTGGAACATCTGAAAAATAACGATAACCAATAAAATATTCATTTAGTATGGATGGAGGGAAACTTCAGAGGCAATACTCTGAGTAGTGTTTACTCAAGAAAGACAAAATGCCTGGACTGGCACAAGTTCTTTTGTCTAGATGCTGCCAATTGTTAAAAGGCTTGTTGGTGATTTTCCACTGGTTCATCCATTTAGGTCTATAATCTGACTTCTATGAAAAATTGTTTCTAAAAATATTCTCAGCTTTTTGAGGGACAAAATTGAGAAGAAAATGATTAATGCAAATTATTGAAAAGTTATCGTTCGGGTTGATAATTTTTTTGCGTTATTAATGAATGGTCTTCCGCCTTCATACCGAAATGTTAGAAGCCAATCGTTCAGTTAAGAAGCCTAATTTTTGAGAACCATGGAGATTTTTTATCATGAAGCATGAAGTTTTGCAAAAAAAAAATTACGATAGAAATCAGAGCTGCGCCAAATATTTTTGCACCTCATTGGTTCAACTTTCCTCATTTTGGAGTAGTCTTACCTCATTACGGCATAAAAAAAAGGACAACCAATACGAACCTTGCACAGTCAAAGTTGCCTGGGCAGTAGCATTGTCCAATTCAGTGCGAGCCACACAAGTGTACGTCCTGGAATCCAACTCTGTCGTTTTTGTAACCGTCAGAGAGTAATCGTTTGACCGGATAAACCTTGGTTCGGAGTCAAAATCAATGGGACCTCCATCGGTTTCCCAGTCAATTGTTAGACGGAGAGAGGAATCGGTGACAGCATTGCACCGGAACGTTGCTGTATTACCGGCTGCAACCTCATAGTCTTCAGGCCCTTCTATGATACGTGTCCTTTCTGAAAAGAGAATTCAAAACTTTCACCAATTGCTGAAAAATTAGTTACTCTAACAAATTGAGCCCATGGTGGGGAAAAAATAATTAGAATATTTAAAAAAGCTCTCCACTGAAGTAATAAATTAATATTGATGAAAATTACAGAAATTAGGATAAACTTAACTGATAATTTAATGGAATGGGGTAGAACTGGCCCTAAATAAAACTCTATTTCAGGACTGAAAACCAGAAAAATGATGAAGTTACCTTTCACAGTAAGACTTCCAACAGCTTCTGCAGTGCCTAGTTTGTTTTCAGCATAACATGTGTACTCTCCCTGATCCAGGAAATTAACATCACTGAAAACAAATAAAAAATCCAACATTGTAGAAAAAATGTGAGCAACTTCAGCACATCAAACCAAATCGCAGCAATTAGCAATTACCGTGCATCAGCTTCAAATTATGATAAAGGTTGGAATTTTAGTGCTTTTTCATGAGATTTTTGCACTGAAACTTAATTCTCACACCAGAATATAAAAATTTAAATGGCTAGAAAGATTCAGTCTAGGTGCTAAGACAGGCCACAAGCCTCTTTTTGCCACATCAGAGAGAGTGTCAAAAGAGTGGCCGGGTCATCGCACTCGGGCCGAAGATTATGCCTTTTTCAATTTTTTATTTTATCCTGATTCCACTGACTTTGCTTGGCTAAAATGGCCTATGATGAAGCAATTTGAATTCAAGATACATACCTGATTTGCAAATCTCCGTTTTCAAGAACTGTGTAGCGACCACCAGTCAATTCAATTGAATTACGGACCCATTTTACGAGAGGTTTCGGAGCTCCGAAGACACGACAAGTCATGTTCACTGTCCTGCCGTTGACGGTTTTTTCGTCTCGTGGCGGTTCCGTGATTTCAGGAGCAAGGGCTGAGAGTAAAATGCATTAACTTAGTCTTACAAGTAAACATTACAGGAAACAATGATATCCTAATTTGGTGAGTCAGAGTTAAAGGTACAGGTGCAAGAACTGAGTATTGATTGCCCTCGAGTAATGAGAAAAATTAGGACTAGGGCTTGTGGTCATAATGATTTTTTTATCAACTCTTTTCTTCTGGAAGGCCCTGAATGGTTTCCATGGTGGCTAAGAAGCTCAGGGAGGCTTCTGTGGCAGAATCTTAATAAAATACAATCTTTGCAGTTTTGCAGGAAAATATGGCTGTTTCACTTCAGAAAGAGACCCCTTCTAATTAAAATGATTTTTCTTTAAAAAAATAAGAAATGCCAAAACATTTTTGAAGGCTTAACAAATTTTTAAGTAGAAACGAATCTGCTATACGGTTTGTCAAAATCATAGTATTTTTTATTTTGAAATTGCTGCTCAAGCAAATGATTGAGGTCTCTTACGAGGATCTACCTACAAAGCTCAACAGTTGAATGCTTTTAGAAGTGCGTAAAAATTGTCTTTCATGCCTTGGGACCTCTTGCACTACAATAGAAAAAACCATTGGAGGCCTCTCTGCGGCAAGAGGCTGATTAAGGAATGACTCTAAGCACAAGTAGTAGTTTTCCTCATATTTTTCATAGGCTTTAAAGAAATTCACCTTTAAATCAAAAGTCACAGAATAGTTCATGAGCAAACCTTGTCCTTCAAAGACAGATGTAAAAAAAAATTATAATTGGGTCAAGTGGACATTTTTTGAAAACAGAATGAAATCTAATTCCAAAGAAAGGTAAGTTTTCAATACCTGAAAAATATTCAGTAAAATGTCCTATTTACATTTTAAAACCGAAATTTCGAAGCTTCAACTTATGGAAACGTTCCGCTTCAGCTTCACGTTTTGACAAAATTTGATACTCCATGTGATGCACAAAAAAATCAACTAAATTTTGCAACTTAGAATTCGAAAGTTAGAATGCGAGGGTTCTTCATTTTACAATAACTCTTACCTAAAACATTGACGTAGACATCCTTGTAAACATAACCCAAACTGTTGGTAGCATTACAACCGTAGTTACCAGTGTCCTCTCTTCTGACATTCGTTATAGTGACAGAATTTTTCGTTTTTGAACGCCTTGGGTTGTTCGGGGCTTGCTCGATAGGTTTACCATTATGAACCCATTGAATGATAGGTTCAGGTTCACCGGAGGCTTCACAACTGAATGTTACAGTTTCGCCCTCTGCAGCGTTGACTATTTCTGGCTCGACAGTGAAATAAGGAACAGCTGAAACACAATTCATTTGCTTATAAGCAAGACACAGTGGTAGGTTAAAGATATTTTGACCGGGAAAGAATGAGATTAGAGTGGCTGTCACTTTTGGATTTTGAGACTGAGACTTTACTTTTCTTCCTGTAACTACTTTGAGCCTGGCTTTATACACCTATGAGTAATCCTGTAATATTTTCCTTAGCTTGTAAATCGAAATACTAAGAATTTATAATAGGTTCTTTAAGGGAAATTCAGGTACAATCATTTAAATTTATTGTCCTATCACTGTCAAAATTATGAAAATCAAACAAAAAATGAGCAAAAATCAGGAAAATTTGAGGTTATCAAACGTTCAATTACACAGGAATACAAGAATACTGAAAGAAAGCACAAAACCAACTAGCAAAATAAGTTTTTAGTTTGTTACACTGGTAATGTACACATTGGTTTGAACGCAGTCTACTGTAGAATCGTCAATCTATTGTAAACTATGATGTGAACAGTGTTTCGAAACTCACCTCTTTGAGTTTTAGGAGCCATGTGGCGCATCAAGCCCTATTTTTAGGCGCCATTGAAGATTTTTTAGGAGCCAAATTGACTTTTTGCCTACACATAACGACGCATTTAGTGAAAAGTTAGACGCAAGATGTTTTCGTAACAGAGCTAGTAAGTAGCTGTTACTTGGGGAAGACAAAAGCACTAAGGATGAAATCGTGAAGAGTAGAAAAAGCTTTCACTTGTAGTGCTGAAAATTTCGAATGATCAATCGATATGGAAATTCAGATTTTTAGGGGGCAATTTATAGGGGCCACGTTGGCGCAGAGCCTTCATTTTTTAGGCGCCATGGCCGATTTTTCGGGCGCATTTGGCACGTTGGCGCCTGTGAGTTTCGAACACTGGATGTGAAGTTGACAAATGGCTATGAGCTGGTAAAACTAGCCTAGTATAGCTCAAAGCCGTCAAGTCAATGGGTTAGAGAAGAGTACATAATAATAACAAGTAGCAAAAGCTACCTGCTGAGGGGGCGCCGCCCCCCCAGACCCCCCCTTTCAAATTATATATGTGAGACTTTGAGTATCATAGAAGTCGTGCGGCGACATGCCGAATGAAATGCCACAATTAAAATTATTGGATCAGATGATGAGCTGATAAAAGCCTTACCTAGTAATTTGGGAACATTTCTGACANAAATTGCAAATTCCTCGCACATGTAACATCTCCATTGGGCCAAAATGCACCGATATCAATACCTCATATGTTACTTGGTTCCTCGAAAATTCTCCTCTTGGACTTAGCCTAAAAGTGTGGACACTTTTTAGCCTCCGGCGAAACCTAGAGTCTATACGGCTTCGCCGCACGACTAAAAATGAATACTTACAAATGACTTGAAGATCTATCGAATATGATTTAGCTTCTCCAACACCATTACTGGCTTCACAGGTGTATTTCCCTTCGTCATCGTCAGTGACACTTTTAATGATCAAACTTTTACCATAGTTGCCTTGCGTGACCCGATCTGATGTCTGTATAGGTCGCCCATCTTTACTCCAAACAATTTGTGGGAGTGGCCTGAAAAAACAAATGAATTGGAATCAATCAATTGAATCAAGCATTGTTATTTGTCAACAACAACAGAAAAAATTGTGATTCACTTGGCGACTGTCTATAAATTACGTAAAATTTCAGGGAGTATTGAAGTATTTAGCATTTAAAACTGTATTTGTTGAAAAACTTCTTGAAAAATTTCTTTCCGCCAAAAACTAGGAAATCAACTTATAATTTTTTAATTACTTATTTTCTACTGCGATAAAAATATACACTATTTTGTAAAAGCCTGAGAGAGTGGGAACCTATTAAATGTCTAGGCTGAACAGTCTTCTTTGTTTTGCACAAAGCCATATTTTATTTCTTTTTTTGCAGGTTTGTAGTAGTTTCCATTACGTAAAATTTTGTGAAAAACCCAAAAATCTCATTGAAAGTTTAAATACTCGTTTTTAGGGGAATAATTATCCTATCAAAATCCAACTGTTGAGTAGACATAGCGAGGTAACACTTGAATATGAGTTCAGCCAATCAGCCCCGGTGCATCATCAGTGCCCAACAGAAATATGATTACAAAGAGGTCCTACTTATGGCATTTTCAAAATGAGGTTTTTGCCATTTAAGTTTTGAAGAAAGAATTCCTCAAAGCTTGGTTCAATCCGTAATTTCCAAAAATGATTTAAAAATAGTGGGTGCCACTGACCTATTGGAGCTTGTCAGCTTGTAAAGCTCAGGTTTCCCCTTGGAATAGTGTGGGCACAACACTATCATGCCATCTTGTTTCTTATCATAATAGCAAATCAGCAGGTCTCTGATGATTAACTAATGAGTCACTGTCAAAAGTATTGGGAAAAAAAAGACGAAGAAAATCTAGTAACTTACGTTCCACCAAATATACAGAACATTTCGATCTTCTTCCCTCTTAGTGCAACTTCGTTTTTCCTCGTTACGTACTGCTGTACGGGCGCATGTTTGTTTTGTCCACTTGATACGCCTGTTGCAACAACTTGTAGAAGAACTCGACTACCAAGCTTGAATTCATTCCTGAAAACGATGAAATAATTGTTAAAAATAAAATCATGCTGCTAAAAAAGTTTCGCATTTCTCCTTTGGCAAAAAAGAAAAAATTGTTAGAAATGTAATTAGACAAAAATATTTACTGGGGAGAAGGACAAAATTGCAAATATTAGGTGCTGTCAGATGATAATTGATCTCAGAAAATTGATGTTAAAAATACAGGGATATTGGCTTCTCACAACTTTCTTAGAAGAAAGATTTCAAGCCTGAGTCCTTACCTTGTCCATTCTATCCTAAATATGGTCCTTAAGTTCCCTTATGAGCTTCCCATATAGCGTAAGTTTCACTGAAATTTATTACCCCTTTATTAAAGATTTTAAAAAAATAATTGAAAGAAACTGCGGACTTGTTTTTGGACAACTGTTCAAATAAACCCCAAGATAAGATATGATTTCAAGCATTCTGATACAACTTTCCGCCTCAAAATTTTGTTTGGAGCACGATTTGCACAACGAAAATCACTGATCCACAATATAAACGTTTTTACTTAGAATTAGCCACAAAAAATCTGAATTTCCAGCTCATATGAAAAACTAGTGTATCCGCTTGATTAAAATATAATTACTGTTGCCAGTTGGTGCTGAAAAATCAACACTTTTCTTACTTTAAACCCATGTGGAATATTCAAATTTAATCGTGCGACCTGGCAACCTTGAACACAATATACTAACCTAAAGAGTGAAGAAGCAGAGCAAGCATAAAAGAAATCGTCACTTGCATCCAGCCTGGTTACGTTAGAAAACCACAGATTACCTTCTGGATCTAGTGTCATACGAGAATTGTTAATACTCTTGATAACACCATCAAAATTCTGGAAAGAAAAAAACATATTCAAAATGAGAGAGGATTTGGTTTAGGCTTGCATTTAAACAGGTTTCTTTTTTTTTTTTTTTTTTTTTTTTTTTTTTTTGCTTTTGATTAACTTGACGACTAAAAATTGGAGGGTGTAAAACAAAAGAATGTAAATTATCCATCAGAAAAAGTTCTCATGATCTTCAGCTTAATAAAATTAATTTGTACATAGCGCACTTGATAATTTGAAACTGAAGGGGCCCAAGATTTGTTTTGGAGGAAAGAGTTTTGGAATTGGCACGATTTCAAATTACAGAGAGAGATTTTGAAGAAAATTTGAAATACATAAAGAGATTTATAAATGAGCTCTGATACTTGTAGTAAAGAGGTTGATCTCTCAATAATTCAAAAATGCTTGTTATTGTGAAATTGCTGTGTCTTCTTCAATACACTGAATCAAAGGACACACACAGAAACATTTCCAAATTAAAGAGCGTACAATGCTGCCAGTTGGAGATGCAAAACATGCAATCCTGATTTTAAATTACACACCATTGTGATCGCGCCACAAGGTGTCTACTAAAACAGGCTGGTCAAAAAATCAGTACTTTTACAGAATTTTTTTCAGTATATTCCCAAGAACTTCAGTACCTTTTTGATAGAAAAATTCAGTACTTTTTCAGTACCTCTAACTGACAAAATTACAAAAATTTGATTCTGCTCAAATTGCGATAAAAATGACAAAAAATGAACAAATTCCGAACCTTCCTGCGGAATTTCCGCACTTTTTCTGTACTTCCAGACCGCCCGTAAAAAATCAATACTATTTCTGGACTTTACGGACCTGTAGACACCCTGCGCCATTTCTAAGTACAAAGCTCTAACTGCAAAGCTAAGTACCGCTGATCAAGTTCAGATCCCATTATGCTTAAAATGTAGTACAAACATACTTACTTGAATAAGCCAGTATACATTCGGTTTTGGCCAACCATCAGGGGGTTGACAGGTCAATTTGAAAGGATCTCCCTCTTGCGCACTCAGCGTCATTGGAGGCTCATCTTTGAATGAATTCAATTCAGCTTTACGCAAGAATACCGAATTTGATGTGGCAATACCTTTTTCGTTCTCAGCAAAACATTGATACTGACCTGCAATAAAGAATGATCATTTTTCATGAGAGAACTTTGGTAAAACAAAAACAGCACTGTTTTGAAAAAACAAAAATGTTCACTGATATGTCATGGCTGATTCTTATGGGCAGGCATGTAAAGTATTGAGTTGGAATAATTTTTTAAAGTGATTTAATATTAGCAGCTGTTGGAGTAGAGCTGTCATTCCATGGACCACACTCATTCGTTCATTAAAATATTTGGCAAATAATAGGTATTTAAGTATTGGGTGGAAAAACTATATTGATCAGCCATAGCTATGAGTTTTATGAATGTTTATAGTCGAAAAAATCTATGAACTTGGAAAATTAAAGGCAGAATCCTTTAACAGGGCGATTATTATTTTAGGATTTCAAAATTTTAGACTTCAGGGATTTTGCACATACATTTCCCTGCCTTTTCAATATTATTTTTTGGCATGATTTCTCAGGAAAAAAAATTCTGTGCGGGAAAATGTTGAGACGCAAAGGCATTGAAATTGAAAAAGTACAATATCTTGGCTGGAAAAAAAATTCTAGGTTCCTCAGCAGTATTCCCAAACTTTTTCAGGTTTTCCTTGCTTTGACTTCTTCAGAACTTATACTTGCTGTGCAAACAGGAAATCACTCCATTTACTTGGCTAATCAAACAAAGCATTGACGAATGATAGAAATGCTCACTGACATTTAATAAATTAAAATTTAACATACCTAGATCTTCTTCTTTTGGATTTGTCACAACCAAGGTACCTCTCCCTGGCTGTTGTGAAATACGTGTGTCATAAACTTGCCAATTAAAATTTTTTCCGTTTTTGATCCACCGATACCTGAAAAATTAGATAGAACATCCTTTGTGAGAACATGTTGACACAAATTGAGCCAGTGTGCTGAGTAAGAACAGTTTAAAAGACTGGAAACTGAAAGCAGAGGGTACGGAGGCTGTACTGCCCTGGTCATGGGTCCAATTAAATCTGCAACTTGTCTGCAATTGCCGTATTGATTGATCTTAATCTTAAGTAGTCTTGATTTGAATAGCATTACTCTTGGCAAGAGAAACGTGCACCGATAAGGTTCCCCCCTCAATCAAGAGTGTGTTCAGTCTCAAAGTTTGAAACTCAGCATGAAGTCTTAGCAGCCATCTAGCCTGCAACTTTTTTCCTTAGGGGCCATCTCAGATTCTCAAATCTGAGGGGCCAATATGAAAAATTGCCCAGTCAGTCGCCAGCCAATCGCGGCGCCGACTACCAAGCTTCCCCTCCCTCTTTCCACCCAACAATTTTACAACAAGATCCAATATGTAACGAAACTTGACGAAGATGGAGGGGAAGAATTGATACCACGACACAACATGGCAACTTTCAAAATGCGCCGAAAAATCCCAAAAACGGAGTTTCACAACGATTTTCTTAGCGGCCATGGCTTGAACACTAATTCCTTAGCAGCCAAAGGCGATTTCTTACCGGCAAATTTCTGTTGGGCCGGCGTGTGTTTCAAACACTGTTCAGTCTGATACCAACTTTAATGCACAAAGGCTCACAAACCACCTCTTTGAAAATGAGCTGGGTTGTCTTTGCAAAGGTTGTCATTTTTTTGAAACTCAACATCAGAGCTACAATACTTTTTTGCCAAAAAAGGTAGCAAGAAATGAGGAGAGTGTAGGGAGCAATCAATCTATTGTTGAAGATTCAAAGAAAAATACAGAATAATTCAAACCAAAACAGGGCTTGGCCGCAGTGTGAAATACCATTAGGACCTCCGTCTGGGCCTCAAGTCAAAACTGATGGACCAAACTTCTCACTAGATTGGTGGTAAAAGAAGACAGGAGAAGTGTTTGAACTTACTTGGGAGCAGGTTCTGCCTCCGCTTCACATTCAATGATAAATGGTTTATCATTTTCATTCTGCTGGGATACGACTTGAAATAGAATTTCATCAGTCGGCGGCTGTTTCACTATCCGAGGTGGAGATGATACTGCAAGAAGAAAATTTTTTTTCATTTTAGGGCTGACAGTTCTTTCACAAAGTATTTTTTATATCTTACAGAATTTTCATCCCTTCAATCAAAGACGGATCCAGCAATTTGGCAACACCGGATTCTCTCCATCTAAATCTATGTTAAATAATTGATTCTTGTCGGAGCACCTGGCCCCTCTATAAGAATCAATTCTTGTCGGAGCACCTGGCCGCTCTATAAGAATTGATTCTTGTTGGAGCACTTGGCCGCTCTATAAGAATCAATTTTTGTCAGAGCACCTGGCTCCTCTATAAGAATTAATACATCTCCGCAGGTTTAAATGGAGAAAAGACATTGTTGCTAATTTGCTGGTTCCGCCAATACCTTCAATTTTCAACATGCCCAACTTTGAGACCATGACGAGGCAGATTCACAAAACAAGACTAAGACCATGCGGAGTATTTTCTAGTCTTGCACCGCAATGGCATACTCAAATTAGGCGACGGATGGAGCAAAGTAGTCCAGGATAGTGAAATTCTCCCAGATTTGGCACAATTTATATGGACTGCATTTTCAGTTTAAGAAAGGATACCTCACAGAATGACTAGAAGGAGTGAGAAGTGTAAAACTTTACAGCAATGTGAAATTCCAATGCTCTGAACAGAACTTATTCAATGAAATTCAATTATATAATGGTTTGGAGATCAAGAGAACTTGGATTAGGCTGAGTTTTATGCTATTCTAATTATTGATATATTTCAGTTCCTTGAAATAATATCCATGGATAAATAAGATAAAAAATTATCAGAGCTTCAATAGTAGTGCCATCAATTCGTTCAGTTTCATTTTTTTTTTTTTTTTCAAACTGTTTTTTAACTTAAAATTTTCATAATGCATACAAGAAAAGAATTGATGCGTCAGAGATCCCTCATTTTACCTAGTTCTTAAATTAAAAAAATAATAAAATACATAAATAAATAATAATTGATACGTAAACTTCTACTCCTTCCTGAATTTATTATTCTTTTAATTTGAACCTTGACTCTTGAAAAGTTTGTAAACTAAGTAAAAGGAAGAAAGAAAAAGATGAAAATTTTGCGAGATACTTACTCATGGCAGCATTTGACAGCAGTAAACAACAGACTAATATCCCGAGGGAAATTAACATTATTTTGTTCCGATCCATTGTGGATTATTGATTAGTTGGAAGTCTTATCTCCTACCTGTAAAATAAAACATTAAATTAAAAATTAAAGTCAGTTTCTATCATCATGAGAAAAGGTGAAGTATCTAGAAACTCCACCAATTTTTTTAATTTTTTTGGCTGCAATTCCAGGATTTCAAAGCTTGCAACTATTGGCCAGTTCCCCAAAACATTTGAGCTAGTATTTGTTGGCAACCCTCAACCTGTAAAAATATATTTTTTTCAAATATTTTTCCTTTGGGCTGTTTCCTTCCTTATTTACCAACTTTACTAACAACACACCCCAGAGAATAATTTAATTACGTAAGTTAATTATCATTACTATGTGTAGCTTAAAAACATTCTCATTTTCAACTATGCTGGCAACAGTCCCTTTTTTTAAAAATAGTTCCCATCCAACTGAAGAAGACTGTAGTGTTTCAAGCCGAAACGTCTTGATCAATTGTGTTAAACAAAAGCCTTGTCACCCGCTGTTTTAAATATAAGTCCGAGAGTACCGACCAATAATACCGTACAATGTTTCAAATAGGTAGATGTGAAAAAAACGTTACAGGGACTTAATTATGCAAGATAAAAGTTTTGAATCGTGCTGTAAACATTTGAAAACAGTTGCTATAACTAGATAAGTCAAGAACTTTCAATGAAAAAATTAATGAGTAAAAAAATTTGAAAAAGTTAAACTAGAATTTTCTTTTTCCTTTAGAAGATATGCTAACAATCTTGAAAACTTGGGTGCCATCATCTGCTTGCATTCTGACTCACAGCAGCTGTGGGTGTAATTCTGGCGCTTAAAAACAGCTGAAAGAGTTAGACTCAAATTCAGCTGTTTTCGTAGCATACTAAAGGATGAATTATCAAATGTCCTGGTTCATTAAATTATTAAAAAGTTGGGAAAAGATAGGGAGAAGCCCGCTTGAGACAAGCTCTCCAAATTTTATGATGATCAATGATCCGCTTTGTTGGTAAACACTAGAGAGATAAAGTGCCACAACAAAATTGACAGTAGGTGCATTGGGAGGGGGAATTTTTATCAGTGACTCACTGATAATGTTTTATCTAAGAATTAGAGCAACAATGAAGAGGTTCTGATACGGTTCCTCGCCAGTTCACTTGCTACTTGCAGTTAGAAATAAAGTGCCTGTGTTGAGTGTAAGAAGTTTAGGTAATTATTTCCTGATCAACTTCCCTCTCCCAATCCTTCTACATAGTAATTGAAAGATGTTTTTGACAGTCAAAATTTTGTTCACAAACTAGAATCTTGTTTGAACATAGATATTAATAAATGCAGCTACCACAAGCACCACCTAAGTACTTGGTACCTAGTTAGACACAACAGGAGAGGTTGTTGATGAGAGGTAAACTATCTATAAAAATGGATTTAGTACCCAGAGTAACTCAAGTTTCAGGAGAGGAGAGAAACATATTTCTCATGAACTTTGAGTTTACACAAAAACTGATCGAGGGATTCCAAGTTACAATACAATTCTACCGCACTCAAAATGAGTTGGTAATTTTGAATATTTCATAAAAAATATAGCATTTTAAACGATGAAGAATTCAGACGGCAACATTAAACCAAATTTTTCATATGCTAGGGAATTAGCACTCTATTTAAATTGATTCAAAATATGATTTCTACTGATACAAGCCTCCAAGGAACACACAATAATATTGAGCCTCCCTTACCAAAACTATACCTTGACGGTTCAATGAGCGAGAAGTTATTCAATAAAACATAGGTCGAAGTTCAGATTCTGCAAATTTTTCAATAGACCTGAAGTCATAGTATGCACAATTGACTTACTCTAAGTAATGATCCCATAAAGAATCTGTGATAAATATCTGATTGATAACAGGCTGTAAGGTAGCTTGTGTTTCAACACACTACAAACTCGATCAATGATGTGGTCTGACAGGACAAGGCAATGTGGCAGTTACAATAAAAAGCGAGCAAACTCACATGAGGGGCAAGTGTCAGTTAAATAGTGCTACGATCAAAACTAAAAGAGTTCGAGGAAATCTGATTCTAGCCATGCTTGCAAATCTTTGCATTTGATCAAAACACCATATTTTCAGTATGACGGAGGTTATCCGAACTGAGAAGGTAAAGACTGAGAGAATTACCTTGGTGTGCAATTTAAAAAATATTTTAGATGAACCTTACAACCTATTCCATTGAGCTTGAAGGATTGCAAGACTATTCTGATTTTGGAATCAAGATGAAAAGTATGCACGGATAGAAGAGTTGATTAAACAAACCAATAACAAACTCAAACTCGTATAAAGTGATAACGATCAAATTTTGATAGCGGGGGTAAAACATATTCAGCCAGAAACTGTTGGTAATGCAGATACCTACAGATATCTTCAGATATAGAAAGCTTCGCCATTCGAGGCGGACACGTATGAACACTCAAAAAATTCAGAAAACACGGAAACAGAAATATAATGCAGGCAAGAACCATTCAAAAACAAACACTTCAGGCAACACCCACTTTTCACCGCATGTAGAGTTATTCTTCCGATTTGAGAGATCAATTCCGAGAGACGCCATAAAGAGATGACACGAGGGTTATGCTGTAGCAATACGCGAGTTGAAAATAGGGAAATAAAATTTTCACTTTCAAGAAAAGGTACAATTTACGCAAGTCCTGATCAATTAGGCCAAGACCATTAAACCAGCAGATAGACGTTTGTGGCAAAGAACGCGCTTTGATTATGGGTTACAGCTACAGACATCCGTATTTCAGGGAAAAAAACAACTCAAAATAAACTTTGAACCATACCTATTCATTGAGAAGTAAATTAATTCACAGAACTACCCTAAATTAGCAGACACACCGCCGACGGGACTTCGCGATTTTCGACTATTTTCCAAAATAATACTCACACACGCACACACATTACTCATAGGTCACGTGATGATACTACGGTAGTCAAGTTGCAGAGAGACGTCATAATGAATTTTAACTTTTAACTAATCCGCGACTAAATCGTCTGTCACTGTTTAAAATATAAAAATGACTAAAAAAAGCCTCGAATAAAATATAAGTCCTACGAAAAATGGAAATTAAGAGTTTAATACTTCTTTACGAGTTGGGAAGCTTATCTGATTTTAAGCCATAAACACAGCCACAACCGCCCATTGACCGTCCGTTGGATACGAGTTGATGACTGGTGTTTGAGTGAGGTATTCTACCTCCACCCCCGCTTCACCCTCCCCCATTCCCCTCTCTACACCCCTCCTCCATCGTTCTCACGGTTGAATGAAATGCGGCCCGGCAAATCGTGGACGTGGAGATGGTAATTTGATCATCATCAGTGAAAAGGTATCAAAATGCGAGTACAACATCTGTCCATTTGAATTATCTTGAAAACTGACCAGGACTGTGCATATTTGAGGGCCAGGCGGGGGCCAAAGGATATCCGACTACCGAAAGGAGTCTTTTTCTCAGAATACACATGGAACCATAATAATGTTATAACATACCAGATCAAATTATTCCTCAAAG